AAACTAAATGTACTTTCAGAAAGCATTCAGGAAGAAACATTGTTTTTACCCAAAAATGGCTTGACATTTGGTTGGAAAGCAACATCTGTGTGCTATGCCACAGAAATATTTAAAATTCAAAATATGAATTCAAAGGTTCGTATTTTTTGCAGCTGAAAAGAAACATTTTGAAGTAAATGTTGTGTTTATGCCTCAAAAACGATGAATTAAGCAGTTTCAAATTCAAATTTCCTGTAAATGATCAAAATATCAAATTATGTGTGTTGTTTCTGTTCCATACAGACAAGTAATCTCTGAAGCATTTCGGAGTGCACCCAATCTTTAATCAGTGTTTAGAAATAGTGCTGAATCAGGAGTTTTATTTATAGTTTCATGTATGATTCAATAGGTTTTAAAAATTCTTTCTTATTTTAGACAAAAATGTGTACAAACAGGGATTCGAAATGAATGAAAAGATACAGTCATCTGGAATAGCGTGAGGTCACTGTCTGTTTATTTAGAAATTATTGGTCATAACCAATAATTTGTCCGTGAGCCACAGAGAGTGACAGAATCTATAAACACCATGACAGACTCGGTTTTTAATACTCCCAGGTATCGGAGGCCTATTTAAAACCTACATAAAACGCCGTGTCAGATTTCTGTTTGTAGCTCAGCTGTTACTGATCAAACATTTCAGCAATCCAAGCATCACTAATAAATTAGGATGGTTATGTATTTCCCAGGGACTGATTTCAGCGAAATGTAAGATGCTTCTTGGGACGTCTGGTTTTGTGAATGTAAAATAATTGTTTTATAAAACCAGTAAGCTGCATGCATCACCATCTCTCTGAAACCACTTATAGTAACCCTTAGACCAGTAATATATATGGTTTATTACTGGTTTTATCCTCTGTTTTACTCTACATATTCAGAATCATCCTATTCATTTCTGTATTTTATATATATTGTATTTTATATGTTCCACTACCCAAAATAAGCCACCGTACCACGGACAAATATCAGCCCAGTTTCTTCTATGGGACTGATATATTAAAGAAATGACTGATTTCAGCCGATACCGATATTAGTGCCAATAAATCATGCATTTATATCCAAAGCCAGATGCTTTTAAAGGCCTGAATCTGATCAATCACCACAGTTTAATCCGGCATATTGAACAACTTAATGAGGTTGGGGGTTTTTTGTTTTATTTTTTTGCTATTTCCTCTTTAAAAATGGGCAGATCAAGAATGAAGCAAACTATTTAAAGAGATTATTACATTTTGTTTGGTTGTTGGTCTCCAGGAGTTCAGGCTCAGCACAAAGTATAACATTTGGAGGATTTTTGGGGGGTCTAAAATCTGTGTTATCTGTGATGGCAACTGTAACAACCCACCCTGTTGCAACCCAAGAATATACAAAAGAGAACTTCCAGTGGTCCACACAACCAGAGTGAATGATATTATAAGGTTTACCATATGTTCTCATGCTGAGATATTTTTGGATGTTATCGTTTGATCAGGTGATAGTCAAATAAGGCTGCAATGCAAAGAGGACCAGAGGAATACCTAGGACTCACTTTGTTAGGTTTTCTGATGTTGTGGTTTATATTCCAATGAGAGATGAAGTTCAAAACTTTTTTTTTTGTCCGTTTGGTTTAACCCTCTCAGGCTCAAATTACTTGCAAAGACTGGCTAAGTTGTTGCAAATCTGCAACACCTGCCTGGAGAGGCTTAAGCAGATAAGAGTCTTGACAGTCGCAGCATGAAAAGTGTCAGACTGTCCTCAGACATGTCAACAACCCCTGATTTTACTGACAGTCGGGTTGAAGTTTCACCAGCAGACTCCTGCTGACCTTCACCTTTACAACAGTAACAGTATAACAGAGAGGCGTTTGTGTACATAAACGAGGGCTACAACTGACAAAGGGACTCGGGACATCCTCTTAATGGATGCTTTAAGAGGAACATGACTCAGAGAATAGAGAAAAAGGAACGTTATGCTAAAACCACAAAAAAAACCTGACCGTAGCACTTCCTGGGTTTTTACCCTCAAACGCAACATTTTCCATTCCTCTCTGCAGTGTGTGAGTTTCTTATTTGCGGTTATTAATAACTTATATTATAACAACACGAACATTTAGACATGATCTTTTACTTGTCTGCATTTTCTGCACTGCCAAAAATACAAAAACTTACCGAGTACTTTTTGTGTAGTTTGTTGGTCAAATGCTTGAAATAAGACTCAACTGACTTTCAAGTTAGTTTACAGCAACATGTAAGAGTTTATTACTGATATAGGAACAGATTTATGCACTTACAAGTGAAAAACTCTCTTGTAATAAGTGAAAACAATCCCAAAACAATTAAAACAAGCCTCTGTAGCTTGCTAAAATGTTGCTTATACGTTCATTTGATCTTATGTCAAGGGTGCTAAGATATTTGCAGTAGACCTACACAAAAAATATGTGGTAAAATTGAATCTTTTTGCAGTGTGGCACTAAACTCAGTGCAACAGTAGACGTGTTGTTGTAAGCAATCATATTAAAGCTGACTTCTCTCACCCGGTGCAATAATCTGTGTGTGCGAGCGAACGGGGGATTGGACTCGCTGAATGACTCGCTTGTGTCCTCTCCATCTGTCCAGTCCCGGCATCTGGGCCCCATCAGACTCCTCCTTTGTTCTGGATCCTGCTGAACCTCGTTTTGTTCATCAGCATATCCTGTTCAACTTAGTTTTATTGATCTGCATTCACATTTGCCTACATAAATACACAACTACATATGCAAAGCAGCAGATTCCGTGAACGCTAAAGGTCAGCGGGGTTACACAGAAACAAGAGCGCCAGTATTGAATATTGCCTTGCAAAAAATACAAAAATAAAAAAAATCATGTGGCGTGTTGAAAGTAGATCACTTAGATTGACTCAATTTAATTTGAGTGGTTTTTAAAAATCTCCTGAAATTCCACTAAAATAATCAGTAGGAAAATTGAAATGAAAATTCTGATGCAAGTTTGATCTGATATTGCTTATCACAACTTCGACAGTCTGTTCAGATTTAGCTGCAGATTATGAAACTGACACCTGCTAAACTGTTAAAGCAGTTCGACAAACACCATTTTTAAAAGTAGACGTGACTGCTGGGTTAACATATCGTATTCTGAGGTCAAAGTCTACAGATATTATTGGATTTTCTTTCCTTTGGTTAAAGGTCTTGCTGGAATTCTCTTCGATAAAACTTTTAGATTTTGCTTGAGTGAGTCGGCAAAAAGAATCAGCAGTCCTATCGATCAGAGAATATTTGAAGGTGGTTGATTTAGGTACAGTGAAATGCCCCAATTTACTTCCTCAACAATCAGTACTCTTAGTCGTTATATAATTGGACTTTCAGTCGTTTTGTTAAAAGTGAGTTGGACATCTTATTAGTTCTGAACTGAAGTCATTATTCAGATTTAAAGTGGGATATTCCATTGGGTATTTTCTAAGCGCATAATTCCATTTTATAGTACAATTAAAGAAACTCTATTCCAGTTATGAAAATGCTACATATATCTAAAACCACTTAAAGGAAGTTTACTTTATATCATAACCTTGTCTGATGCATTGAAATTGGCCTCTGTCTCTTTAAGAAGCTCCTATCCTTTCTGACATTCAGTCATCATCACAGTGCCTCTCCATGATGCCGCTCACATTCATTACATCATGACTTAGAAGCTCAGTAGAGTAGTAGGTGTTTTCTAATTACTGCTGCTGCTAGTCTGGAGGAGCTGCGTGGGTTGAGGGCAACTCTGTGGCAGAAGCCAGGCTAGGAACTGAAGGCGGAGCTTTGGGTAAATGGACAGTGCTTTATCCAAGCAGGTGTACAATCTCCCATGTTTGCCATAAGAGATTCAAGGATGTCTTAAGGCTGTTGAGATTTTAATAGATTTTGCCTTAAAGATCCAGACTTTCTATGTTGTCCTAAAACAGCATTGATTTGCGTTATGTTAGTTGGCATTTTGTGTGTATTCTTGCATCATGTAAATCTGTTTCGTAAGAAACAGGACAAAAAGCAGGTTGGTGACACAACGTGGTAAAAAGTGTGGTCAGCAAACAGAGCTAAGAGTCACGTTACATTTTACATTTTAAAAAACTTAAACAGAAGATGGCAACTTTAACAGAAAACTCACAGTTTCTTAAAGTTCTTCAGTTTTATATCTGTTAGATCCACACACCATTGCATATTTAGATGCAATTCTTAACTTTTTAGTATGTATTAATCTGAAATTTTCTACTGTGTCTCTTTGCCTCAACAATCTTAAAATTTCAGAGGTTTTTATTTGCAATCTGACACTCTAGATGTCTCCAGTTCCTCCTTAATGTCTCAAGCAATTCCAACACCAGACAGATTTTGGGACAGCCCACATCAAGACTTAAATATATATCTTTAAATAAAGTATTGTTAATGTACAAGCCAAGGTGTGTATCTGCAGTGTCATTTTAGCAGCTTGCTTTGCTATATCTCCAAAACATATTGCCTCCATAAATTTACCTTGTCACTTCCTCCTTTGTGCAATATCTTCAACTTGGCCCATTTTTTTAATTACTATTCTTTTCATGTGAAATCAATGTTCTCAATGACTGCAAGCATCAGTCAAATCAATGCATTTAAAATACAATTTAGAAGAGTCTAGATTCATATTAAGGGCAGAGATTTCATTTCTGGGATTCTGAAGTTATTGATTAAAATAATTGTTGACATATTAACTGGAAATGTTGGAGTCACAGCAACAGGAACTAGTCCCTAACCTGACAAAGGTCTTAGTGAGAATGTCATTGTGTTCCTTGATGCACATAAATGTTCAAACTGACCCTCGGCAATTTCAATAAAAGTAAGATAAAAAAATTGTTTGTTTTTATACTTGAACATTTGACTTTTATTTCAGTTGTGACCTTCCTGTTCTTCTGAACGTCACATTGAACCGCAGTGAAGCTTTTACAGTTTCCACTCAGCTCTAACGTGTTCTGTCGTCCTGCAGACGGCATCATGGGCTGTGTGGGCTCAAAGAAGGAGCAGAAGTTCCCCAGCAAAGACACGGATAACAGCGACCAGCAGAACAGAGCTCAGGTACACTATGTCAGAGACCCCACCTCTGGAAGCAAAGCTGCCGTAAGTTGGACCAGAAAAAAAAACGTACTGATTTAGACATTCAACAGGTGCAAATTCTCTGAAAGGTCGCTGAACAATTTCCATTCGTTGTGGTTCTAATCCTCATTAGAGAGTCTCAACTTTTACAAATATGTCAGAATCTGAACGCACAGCTGAGCTGAACTCATAATATAAAATGAATGTTCTATGAAAAAATATGAATCTATCCATTAAACTTGCCTAAATACTCCAAGCATTTGAAGACAGAATCAACCATATCCATTTGCTCAACAAAATAATTTTACTGCTGAACCAAATTAGGAAACAATTAACCCAAAAAAAATTAGGAAACGATAGGCATTTAATTTATAAGACATGAGAGAAAAATGATTTATTATGTGATTTAGAATCTTCAATAATCAGACCATTTTGTTCATTTCATTAAAGTATTGCATGCTAAGTTTATTATAGGCAACCAAAGCTCCACATCAATTAACCTTTGCATCCTTTTTTAACCTCTGGTATAAGGGAACTGTTTTTCACTGTAGATTTGGGGGTTTTTAGATTTAGATTTGCTAGTTTATTAGTAAAGCCAAGAAAAAAGTATCCCACTAAATTAAAAGTGCCACATGAAATTGCAGAAGTGTGCAAAAGTTTTCTCAATTGCACAGTGTATATTATAAGTCATCCAAAACATGGCAATCCTATGCTTGAATAGGACATATTCAGCATTTTGCAAAATTATTTGTTGTTGGATTTTTTGTGATTAAATAAAACAAACAAAACATTCATTGTGTTTTTGTTTTCTAGCAGATGCAAATGAGGTATAAATTGTTCACTTATATGCAGCATGTACCACTGCTATAAACGGTATGATGGAAATTTGAGACATTAGGCACAACTGAACAAATTGTGGCTACAGAAATATTTCAGCTTATGCATATATATTGTTTTAATGATTGTACTAATGCCAAGCAATGATTTCTTTGCATTCTATTCTGTTGCAATAGACTCCCTCAAACAGAACAAATCTTAATTAATCAAGCAACCGAAGTCCTAAGAAATAGTCTTAGCTATTTACCAAGACCATTAGAATAAAAATTATAATGGTTTTCATTAGAATTATAAATTCAGGCAGATTTCCATTACAATGAAAATCTGCCTGCTTGGAAGGAAAATAGAGAAATTTTAGAGTAAGTAGCAAACTTTTTGTACAGAGACATAAATGTTCTTTTCTAAAGGACAGTTTAACTGCGCATGCATGTTTTAGCAGTAAAAAAAAACAACTGCAGAAGCTTCATGGGCTTCTAAAAAAAATGAGGAAGAGTAATGATAAAAAGGCAGAAATAGGAAAACTTAGTTCAGAGATGATAAGAACGCAGTTCCACAATTTTCAGCAAAGTATCGAAGGGAAGTAGCTTTCCTTTGTTATCATTTGCAGAAAAGACACTGTCTGGACACAGAATCAACATGTCCACGTGACCTGCTGTGAGTTTCCATGCCGGTTAGACTTTGATCTGTGGCAGGGTTAAAGTTGCAGCGTTACTGCGAGTGTGGTTCCTCTGGCTACTGCTTCCTGTGTGTTGACTGTTAGATCTCTTTCGCCCTCAATGAAGAGGAAGTGAGAGAAGCAGAACCAGAACGTTCAGCTAGGACATGCGTAGCGAGAAGTGTTCATGCTGTGATAACTTTTAAAGTCTAAACTAAACTTCAAATGCTTTATTATCTAAAATGCCCCAATGGGTTTTAAATAGATCACCTTGCTCTACTTTAAAATCTATGTGGAAACCAAACTCTGACATAAAAAGCAACATCTAACTTCGAAAACAACAATGTAGCTGCAACTGATGCAAAATTAGTTGATTTGCTGACCTTGCAAATGTCATTTTTGTTTGCACAGTTTTGTTGTGATTAAATGTGGTTTTAAACTTGAAGCCTCTCATTAAAAAGCTACTTTTAGAAAACCTTTTTGCTACACAGAAATGTTTCAGGTCATCCAGTTAATTTTAATAGCAGAAACAGAGGAGTAAAACCAACACACAGTTTTATTTTTGGTCTAATTTAATTTAGTGCCAATTCATAACAAATAATATCTCAAAGCATTAAAGGCAATAATTCAATTCAGTCCAATCATTCGGTTTACGTGAGCAAGAGTCTTGTACAAGTCAAAAACCTTAGCTGACCAAAACTAACACAATGGGATGCCTCAATTTAGCCAAAAACGCATCTCAGAAAGTTCCCCTGAATGGCAAAAAAGAAAAGAAAAACTGTTTCATACTGGCCTAGTTAATGTCTGCATGAGGTGCAGTGGCATGACCTTTTAAATGATGTCATTTGTTCTAAAACAGTCCTCCATTTTTGGCTAATTTAAAATACTTCTCCAAAGAAGAGAGGTCCAAATTCCACCACAACAATTTTACCACTAATCACAAACACTTAGAGGCAGTTGGTGTTGTTGGTGTCGTTGTTGAGTGTGGCACGACCAGTTATCAAACTTGTCCTGTACCTTCATAAAATCATCTACTACAAATGTGACTCCTAACATTAATCTTGTTGATTATGCACTGTTGTTAGTAACCACACTAATTCTAATGATGAAAACATATTTTGCATTTTCAAAATTAAAATGAGTGCAGAATTCATGTGTGACTGTGTCTCTCTCTCTCCACAGGCCAAATTGCCCTCAAATGCAACCTCTTCGGATGGTGAGTTCACTGACTGGATATTGCTGACGTTGCATGAGTATCTTGAGCTACTTCTGCTTAATCTCAAAGTAGAGAAAAGGATAATTTAGGAACTAAGGTAATGTTAGATTCAAAATGGCCGTCAACAAAAGTCCTTTTTATAGACTGACATAGAAGTTTACTTTTTGAAAAACCTTGTCTCTGAGCTCAAAAGAGGAAGAAGTGTCTGTGTTGGTGCTGAGCAATAACCCCTCTCACTGCCTCGCCATGCAGACCTAAACACAGAACAAGGCCAGCCTGCTGCTGCTATTATTAACAGGCGTACAAGGAAGTTAGTTATAGAGCGAAAATATGGGGAAGCCTATTGTAGAGACAAAGCTGAGGTGCGCCTGCAATTATTAGGCATTGATAATTATATGACAGCAATGTACTTGACACCATTTTTATTTTGGTCCAACGTATTGAACTAAGAAAAAATGCAGGCCTGAAAGTGTCAAAATTAAACGTCTATTTATAAAACACAACCACACGTTTTGTGGTTTCCTGATTTCTATTGCAGCTGCTCTTAGTGAAAATTACACTTACTACTATTGTTAACAGAGCTAGCTGATAGCATGCATGTTTCTGTAGATTTAGTCGTCCCTTGATCCCCTGAAAGACTACCTAGTCTAATAAATATGTGGAAGGTAATTTGAGACCTCATCATCCCCCATTCCTATTGCTTTTAGATCGAAAAAAACATAATCGCCTTTATAATCTGTGCTAACCAATATTGTGATACATAAATTTAGGATAGAAGACCTGATCATTTTGTCTAACAGTTACATTCAGTCAGTGATTTGTTTCTGGAATAATGGTGGAAGAGGCAGAAATTAATACATTTCATCATTCCATGATTTGATTTGTTGGTGCATATTTGCAAACCTTTTATGTCTTCAGCTAATTTTATTGCAAACAACTTTAAAAAATAAACTCTGACACCTTGTGATCTTTTAATTATTTATCTTTCTACATGAAATCGTAAAGTCGTTAGTACAGAGCAATTGAGGCCATATTGAATGGTTAATTAATTTGATGTCATTATTTGTTTTATTTGTTTTAATTTTATGTCATTATTTGTTTTATTGCATTATTTGGTAATGCAACTGGGGGTTCAGTTATGTTAGCAACTTCTAGCAAAAGAGTGACAGCTGCAACTAATTTCTTTGATTTGCTTTGCTTGTCTACTCCTTGTACTGATCACACAGCATCATCTCATTCTTTGGACTTAGATAAAAAATCTTTGGATTTGGGGAAACAAGAAGAATGTGGTTAAAGAATCTGAGCTTAGGATGACCACCAAAAGTCCTGCATGTGCGATCTTTTCACATGTGCTGGAGCTACAAATTCTCCAAGCAACAGTAAATATTTATGTAAATGTCTGGATAGTGGACATAACAGCCTTGTTGTGTTTCATTGGCACAGGTGAGAGTGATGCCATTGCACTGTTCGACTATGAAGCGATTCATGAAGGAGACCTTGGCTTCAAGAAAGGAGATAAACTCAGAATTTTGGAGGAGTAAGTAGCTTTGGGACTTACTCATAATGTCATGATCCTAAGAACAATAGAGCTAAATTTGTAACCAGAATCCAGAAATACATAACTAGATTTGAACTGCTTTTGGAACATGCTGATGGTCTCATACCAAAGAAGACTGAATGCTGAAATTCGACCAAAAACTTTTTTAGCAAAGCATTAGTTTAAAGACTGAGGGTGGGCAATATGGTCTTAGAGTATTGCTGCAATATTTTGTGGTACTATTGTGATAACAATAAAAAATATTTATTAATGTGAATTAAACTGCACATAGTAGCTGCATTTAATGACGATTTCCCATTTACATGAACAATGTCTTTAAATAAGCATTGGAGAACACTGTAAAAAGAAACATCTGAAAATAGTGTCAATTTTTTTTTATTAATTGAAATTTATTGAGAACATTCATAAAATTTTTCAAAAGAAATCATTCACAATGAATTATAAACAATACGATAAACACCCACCCTAATGGACACAGGTTATAGTAGCTTTTTTGTTTAACTTTCCACCAACAGATTTGTTTGTTTTTTTTTTCCAGCTGTACAGGATTATTCATATCTGGGGTGAAAAAACCTCTTTAAATAAGTTAATTTTTTTTTACATCAGAAGAACCTGTTCTTTTAACAATACAGTGTCAGGTTTTGACAACCATCTACACTTAAACCTTTGAAGCATCTGAAAGAACCTCGTGCCATGTCAAGGCAAAGTTACCTTTCTAGGTCTCAGAAGTTGTTTCGTTTGCAGTTATTTTTTTGGGTAATAGTTTTCTTTGTTGTGCCTGTCTTGCTGTCCCTTTCACATTTTAGGTCAGGCGAGTGGTGGAGAGCCAAGTCCATCAGCACAGGCCAGGAAGGCTACATCCCCAGCAATTATGTAGCCAAAGATACTCTGGAGACAGAGGAGTAAGTGGGCATGCTTAAGCTTTAAACACAAACATGGATTATTATGTGGCCTTTGTTTAGATTTAATCTCTGAGCCTTTTTCCTGTTGTTCAGTTGGTTCTTTAAGGGTGTTAGCAGAAAGGACGCCGAGAGGCAACTCCTGGCTCCAGGGAATCGAGTCGGATCCTTCATGATCCGAGACAGTGAGACTACCAAGGGTAAGACGAACTGCAAAAAAAAATGCATAAAAGATGTACAGACCGACACCCTGTAAAAGATTTAGTGAAAGATTTCAAATTGATTTTCTGATCAAAAGGGATCTAAAAGGTTTACATGATTCCACAGTTTAATTTAAATATTTGAATTCCACTTGCCATTTTTAATATCCCTGCTTTGGATCAGATGTGAACTGCTGTTTTATTTGTTTTTGCAACAGGTAGCTACTCTCTGTCCGTCAGGGATCTCGACCCCCAGGCTGGTGACACAGTTAAACATTATAAAATTCGAACTCTGGACAACGGAGGATTTTACATCTCACCACGCATCACCTTTGCCACTCTGCAAGAGATGGTCAGCCATTATAAGAGTGAGTTCTGACCGCCAGAGCAGATTTTCTCCAGTTTCTCACAGTTCTGATGTAGCATATGTATATTGCTAGATGTCAAACAGTCAAACCTGTGCTTATTTAGTTGTGAGCAAACTTTTTAAAATAACCCCCCACAACATGAACCATTAATATCATGGTAATGTGTGGCTCCCTCTGCTGGACAAATCTTATAACTGATCCTCAATTAGTTATAAGCTGCAATATGTAGCTTTTATATATGAATGTTTATCTACTTATTTGTTGAAACTGTCACTATATTGTGACAGTTTCAACAAATAAGTAGATAAACTTGTCACTATATTGTGACAGTTTCAACAAATAAGTGACACTGCAGCTTTAAAGGAGTAATTGGATAGGTTCCAATTCCCTATAGCATCAGCAATTTTTCTCATCATAATAAACTGCATGACACCTGAAACCGCTAAATATAATATTTGTCATTTTCAGAACAGGGAGACGGCCTCTGCCAAACTCTGACCAACCCATGTTTGAGCCCAAAACCTGAAAAGCCTTGGGAAAAGGACGCCTGGGAAATCCCAAGATCTTCACTTAAGTTAGATAAGAGACTTGGTGCAGGACAGTTTGGAGAAGTTTGGATGGGTGAGACAGATCTATACCACTGTAAAACACTATCAATAATTTTTTAAAATTCTATACCCAAAGTTGTAATCAATTGTTATGGTTGTATTTTTTTTTTCTTCATTGAAGCTACATACAATAAGCACACCAAGGTAGCTGTGAAGACCATGAAGCCAGGCAGTATGTCAGTGGAAGCCTTCTTGATGGAAGCCAACCTGATGAAGAGTCTACAGCACGACAAACTGGTTCGACTCAACGCTGTGGTCACCAAAGAAGAGCCCATCTATATCATTACTGAGTATATGGAAAAAGGTGCAACTTTATGTTCACTTGATGCTTGAAAACGTTTTAAACAATGATGTCTTATTCCTCTAAAACCCATCGCAGAACATGCAGAACTCCTCTTCAGTCAAATCAGTCAATTGGTCTTCTGCCATTTTCAAATGGCCGCAGTTTCAAAAGTCTCATAACGGTTTACATGAAGGCTGTTTGTTGAATCTTTAAATCGCTGTCATGTTTGAATTGGCTACTTGTTGTCAGTGCTTTCTCTGACTGGTAGAGAAAACAACCAGCTATGAATCTTCCTCTCTCAGTAACAGTGTCAACATGACCGGAGTAGAAACTAGAAGTAGAAAACAGATCAAATTCATATAAAAGATGGTCCAAGCTCTGACCAGAAGAAGAAAATCCAAATTATTGCATAGGAATGGATCTATTTTCTGTTCCTTATCTAATTTGTAATTTATGTCTTTATAAATGTTATTATATATTTTATATATTCAGTCACTGTGTATTTCTGTTAATTTTAATGTGTATGAATATGTCTTCTTACAGGCAGTTTGTTGGACTTCTTAAAGAGTGACGAAGGCAACCGTGTCCAGCTTCCCAAGCTTATTGACTTCTCTGCCCAGGTGGGAATCGATTGATGTTAGTCAGTCCAAAAATCAGATACATTTCTAAGTAAAGCAACAGCTGCAAAGTGCTGTTTGTGTAATGCTGATCGTATTTGGCAATTGTGGTAAAGATGTGTAAAAGGCCTTAAATTAAATCCATCTTTTATTAGCACAGTTACTAATTAGTAGCTCACATGCTGATTATATAGTAAATGAGAGCTTACTCTCATGTACTTTCACTTTACTTGCTAGTAGAGTGAAAGTTATTAAATGTAAAAAAAACAATTTTCACTAATCCAGTGTTCTGACTGCTACTGCTACCTACCGTTTCCTACCGTAGCACAGACAGATAGCTACGTCTGTCTAAAACTACCGTCACATTTACAAAGCCAAAAGTATCACTTTAACATTGTGTTAATGTTAAATATTATCATTGGATAACTTTCTTTGAGTGACTGGACTGATGCGGAAGCTTAGGAGTTATGCTTAGTTTGGCATTGGAACAATTTATATACATGACAAAATCACAAAAATATCACTACCTTCACCAGAATATTCTACCTGTGTAAAATCCAAAGCTATCGCAGATGCACTAATCCTTTTATTTGAATATCCTACCTTTTTTTAAAATATATTTGAAATACAGAGGCATTTGTAAGTAAGAAACCGTATCAGACAGGGGAAACAAGTTTTTATTGAAATTCAACTAAACACAGACATCTACAAATACAAATCACCACAAAAATAAAAATTGTGCGTTAATATGTTGTATGACACTCTAGAACAAGGACTGCTTTTTACCAGGTGAATCAATAATGCTTTCATCTGTAACCTTGGGGGAAATAACTAAGAAAAGCTTTTACAGGTCAGTTCTGTTAAATAATCCGTTACTTTACATTGCTTGTTTCTAGATTGCAGAAGGTATGGCATACATTGAACAGAAGAACTACATCCACAGAGACTTGAGAGCTGCCAATATCCTGGTTAATAAGTCCTTAGTGTGCAAAATTGCTGACTTTGGCCTTGCTCGTATCATTGAGGACAATGAATACACAGCTAGAGAAGGTAAATCTCATCCCTCTACATGTCACAGAAGAATTCATCTCATTCCTCCATGTCATGTTAATGACATCACTGCAAAAGCACAAAATCTAAGCAAGTACTTTTGGCTTATTGTCTAGTGTACATATTTTAGTAAACTTGAAATAAGGCTGCAAAATATACTAGCTTGTTTTAGGTTAATAATTCCTTAACTTCTATGAAAAAGCACCAGTTCCCCTGGCAGATTTTTTTCACTTGTAGTAAGACTCTTTTCCCATGTTACCAGTGAAATAATCTGCCAGTGAAACTGGAACTTTTTTACTGATATGAAGGAATTCTTGATCTAAAACAGGCTTCTATGTCTTGCAGAAAAGTTACTTGTTAGAAGTTAAAAGGTTCTCTTATTTCAAGTGCACTAAGATATTTGCACTAAAAACTAGACCAAGAATACTTGGTGAGATTTTATGTTTTTGCAGTGTTGCTGTATGCTGAATGGTTTACTTAAACAGAAATATTTTTGACAAGGACATTTTTTCATATTTTCTCTAGGACTTAGAATGTCTGAATGTCCAAACTAGTTCTATAGACTTACTGTTTTATTACTCTTTCTTAACCAGGAGCCAAGTTTCCAATCAAATGGACGGCCCCTGAAGCCATCAACTACGGTTCCTTCACAATAAAATCAGACGTCTGGTCCTTTGGAATCTTGTTGACTGAGATTATCAGTTATGGACGCACCCCCTACCCAGGTGACAACATCGCTTGATATCATTTTAAAATGAGCACAAGTCCTATTACGGTGTTTAGGAAAATATTTTGGAACATTGCTGGAGTGATAAAAGTTGTAAGTAATTTCTTATTTTCCAGGAATGACTAATCCAGAGGTAATCCGTTCTCTGGAGAAAGGTTATCGAATGCAGCGCCTTGACAGCTGTCCCACTGAACTTTATGAGATCATGCTGGAGTGCTGGAAGAACAAGCCAGAGGACCGTCCCACCTTCGACTACTTGCAGAGTGTCCTGGAAGATTTCTACACAGCCACAGAGAGCCAGTACCAGCAGCAGCCATGAGACATGATCCATTAATATGTGCTGAAGGTTCAGCATGCGTCTGCAGTGGTGCAGTTCAGGCCACAAACCCTTATAGTTTAGCTCTCTGTTTATTTACACACACGGCACAGCAATAGTAGGGACTGTACAGAAATTACTAGCCGATAATTACGTTTACTTTTGAAAGATATGTCTTCACAGGTTTGCTATTTAATAAAAAGCTCTAGTTTCAAGAGAGAATGAGCTACAGGATTGGAAAGGTTTCGCTAACATATCAGTTTCTAAAAGTGAAACTCCATTTGTGTCCACAAAGACTGCCTAAAAAATGTGATACTATTTTTATACGTTTTATTTAAATTGAGAGTGGCAATAATTCCACAGCACTAAAACTCCCAACTCAAAAGATTGGAAGTGCGTCCTATATGTCAGAGATAGAAACACAACTCAGACATTTGTTGTTTTTCTCACAATATAATCAATTTTTTCTTACATGTTCTGTTTATTGAATAAATAGTTTATTACTCAAGGCCGCACAAACTGCATAAAGCTTTGTTGATAAATTAGTGCTTTAGCTCCACCTTGTGGTCTGGAGTTTAATAGAGCCTCAAAAGTTTGGCACATACAGGCAGCAGTCTTGAAAACAAGTGCATAGCACATAAAATGTTAATATTTATTATCTGAAAATTCACCATAAACCCTCCAGATGCACCACAATCATTACGGGTAAAGTGTTCATTGGTGCTTTTCAGAAATACACATCAGTTTTGGCCTCTGAAGAGCAGCACTTCAAAGAACATTTTTATCTAATTTATTTACTTAGATGCATTAAATACACACTGCGCTATACGTTTGGAGCTCGGCAAATTCAGAACAAAAAGCATTTCATTCGTGCCATTGTTTTGATGTAATTATCGCTAATGATAATTTGTTCTGTATTGGTAAGGTTTTGTAGTCCTGCTGTAACTTTTATACAATCCCTAACTTTTTAAAACATGACCACCTTCATCAAGCTCAGCAGATATTTTCAGTACTAACTCAGAATTACAGAAATTTACCATGTGAAAAAAAAAAACATAGGCCTGACCATGGTAGCAATTTTCTCTCTGCACATGTTTCCACATTATTTGTGGCTTATTTTAGCATTCCTTATTCACAGTGCCTTTGACAGTGGCTCTTTAATCCACGTTCAATCAGCAATATATTCCATATGATTTGTATATACAGAAAAGCACTCAGTCTTAGATTTATTCTGCTTGTTAATTCTTACATATATGTTCTTTATGACTTAAGTTATTTTTAAAAAAAAAGCAGTTCATACTTATCTCATTAATATTGTCTTTAAAATTAGAAATCTTTTATAAGTTTGTATGCTTGTTTTAGCGAAAAGCAATGACTGATGCTTACCCATGAATTTTTATAGTGCTGGGAGTTGGATGTAAATTGCACATAAACATTCAGGATTAAAATCCTGAACAAGTGAGATTCTATTTTGAAAGACATCTACGCAATAGTGTATCAGAAATCTCTCTTTAAGTGTAGAGACATATATGAATGAAGCACAGCAATTGCTCAAAACTGTATATAATCATTTGGTGAAGACTTTTTTTTCTGTTTTTCAATGTGAATCTCTTGACAGTTTGTGAATGCTTATGTGCAACTCTTATGACAATGGTTAAATAAAAAGGTTGAAAGATTGCGGTAATGAGTCTTCATGGAACAGCAAAGATATCTTTTCATCATAACTTTTATGTTTTTCTACCTTTTTTATTAATTATTATCTAACTTACGTATTATACTTCCATGTATTTAATGTCTTTACTGTTTTATTTAATCCACACTGCATAAAAACTACATAAAATATAGTCGTACTCCAGTCACCTCTAATATTTGGTTAAATGCCTGGTGCAAAGTTGCTGTTGGACCACAAGATTTCTCAACAGCATTGGAGAAATGGGAGACATTTAAGAACTAGAAAATAACACACATTTATCTGTTATACCCTGAATAAGTTTGCTACTACATGTATGCATGTGCAATGGAACAGGTTTTCACTACTTGCTGGTGAGAATTCTGATTATATGTTTCTGATGGAAAATGATACAGAAATCTTTCAAAAGACAATAAAAAAATAAAAAAAAATATATATATAAGTTTATATATATATATATAAGTTTATATATATAAGTTTATATATATATATATATATATATATATATTATATATATATATATATATATATATATATATATATATATATATATATATATATATATATATATATATATATATATATATATGTTTTTTGGATATTAGTTTTTTTCTCTTTCCGAAAGAATGAGCAGTGGACAACTTCCGGAACGTCACTAATGACACGTATTCAAAATGGCGGCCGAGGCTATGGTAAGTGGTAAAATGAACTCTTTCCTCTATCTATATATTTGCTACTCTCTACTCCTTAAATAAATAAGGCATTGCGATGTAATTGGGGCAGAGGAAATTTACTGAAGAGATATATGGAATCTTAATGTAAAGATACTATTCACAGGAGTTTATTGTGTGAATGTTTGAAATGTTGCTAACTTAGTTAGCCTGTTAGCTAAAGCTTGCTTGGATGTCCGGAGCTCTGGCTGTGACAGTGATTTTCTTGAATTATGAAATTGCTTGAATACACGTCCAAGAGACCTGGGGCTCGCCGGTATTTGGTTGTCATCCCAGCAGATGTGAGATGAAGCGAAACTTTTCCAGCTAGCTGCAGCACTTACGTCTGGAAGCGTCAGTTATTATGACTGAAAGGTGTTAGCATGGCAGAAGAGAATGGAGTTCAACAAAATGCCCTCAAAAAACTGGAATAAAACTGTTTCCATTTAACTATTTTGTCATGTTGGCACTAAGTAGCTCATACAACATATTGTACTGTTGTTGACAATTCAGTTGTTAATTAAAGTTTGTGACGTTAAACTAGGCTCAGGTACATATAAACTACATCAGTAATAAACCAACATTTATATTCTAGATGTTGGCATGGCACTATGCGTATCCGGATTGTAATGTGTCGCCCTTCTTTTCCTGTTTGTGTTGAATGATCTTGATTACGTTGCAGACTTTAAGTTTAGGTAACAAATCCTTAATACATCACACTTGTTATTCTACAGGTTTTAGGGTTTTGGTTATTAGCAACTTTGAAGTATTCCTTGTTGTGGAATTCAGACTTTTTCTACTAATGTTTTCTTTTTTTAATTTTCTTATCTGGAAATGTTGATTTGATTTACTTGAACCAACATTTAGTCCAGCATATGTTTTTTGTTTGTTTGGGGTTTTTTTTTTCACTTTTCTTGTCTCAATTGCATTATGTCACAGTATTTTGAATCAATACTGGTAAATAGTTTGAGGTTAACTCTGAAAATTGTAGTTCAATTCTTTCTCCTTCCATTATCTTTATTTAGAGCTAAATCACAACTAAGTTAAGTTTCAGGCCAGAGCATATTAGACTCATAGCTGAACATTTACTCTTCAAGTTTGATTCAAATTTAGCCATGCAGTTTGTCAATGTATCCATTCATCTGTTTTCCATACGCGCTGGTTTCAGATTGCATTGGGGTTTGTTGACTGGAACCCATCTCGACCTGCTCACCGGTCTGTCACTGGGCAACTCAGACACAGAGCCAACACAGTTAGATTTGATCTTGTCCTGTCCAGTTATAATATGATCTAGGAATCACAGGGAATGCAGCAGTTTGCGTCCTATCTAATCTTTGCTTCAATGCAATCCTGCATTCAGAGCTAGCACAGGGCGTCAGCGCAGAACAACCACTCCATAATAACTGGAGGAAACCTCCAGCAGAACCAGGATCAGGATGAATGATCATCTGCATCAACCTGACAGTGGCTGAAAGAATGTCAAATGGACTAAGATGGTAGTCCTGGGCTAGGTGTACATTTTATGGAAGGCAATATAAAAAGGGAATGCAATGTCAACGAAAGCAATAATTGCAAATAATGTCCAAACAAAGTGAGGAAATGTCCTCAGGGCTCCCTCCATCGGTACAACTACAAAGCTTAAGATGAGGGTCACTAACCTGTGGACCGTTATGCTGTTCATGGTGACTTCTAAAAGAGCTTTTATATCATATTTGAAAAGACCATTCACAACTGAATTACGCTTAAGGTGCCCAGAATTTTTTTAGGTCACCAACTGTGTACTTCTCCTGATTGTTCCTGTAACATAAATATGCAGCGATGCGTTCAAAATCCTTCATGACAGCCAGAATCTTTTTATGTTGAAAAAAAGTGTGATTAATATCTATGATGTTAAAATCTAAGAAATTAATGAATTTGTTGTTTTCACCAGTCGTAACTCTAGCTGTTGTGCTTGTGCCTCATATGATGTTAAAAAAGTGTTTCCATCGCAGTTTTGTGAATCATATCCATTTTTATACAGCTGAAAAACCACCTCATCCCAGCGCAAAAACTTTATTGAAAAACTTGAGTTTTTCTCCAAATTGACCTGTTTCCATGAAGAAAATGTATTTTCGTAATTTCAATTTGTACAATTTCATGGTTAATGGAAATCCAGCTAGTGAGTAGTCCATTAACATGTGGAGATGAATGAAAATCATTTCCTGTCAGTAAGGTAGTTTTACTGTAAAAGTTAAATCTCTTTGCTTCTGCATTTTTGGCTTTGAAACCGTTTAGGTAGAGAGGAACTCAGAGAAAACGTGTTATTCCTGTTTTGCTTGGTTCTGGATCCCTGAGGTGAGCATCTTTATTCAGTCTGAAGCAGAGGACAGGTCTTTCAACTTTTTTCTACTCAGCACCATTTATATTTGTAAAGCTAAAAATCCAACAGCTGTTATTGTTGATTCTTACCAGCCACTCTATTGCTTGGTCATTTATTACAAAATATGGCTGTATTACCACATTCAGAAGGCCTTTATTTAAATCTTTATTGAACCAAACAGTCAGTAAATGGGTTAGGAAACAAGAAACATGAGAACCTTAAGCTAATCAGAATTGCCTGGTTTTACCATCTTCTTGTCTTCTTGTTTGTTCTTGTGGTTCATTCTCCTCTTTCTGATGGAAACAAGCAGTGATATTCTACCTCCCAGCCATACTGTGAAATAAGAGAAGTGCAGCCTGAGCAGAGCATTTGTTTCATGCCTCCGTGCCTGTTAGAAATGGGTTGGTGTTAGTGGTGGCTTCAATAAACAGTATTTGAATAAACAGATTCTCAATTTTGCAGTTTCCTTTTGTAACTTGATCTTCTTCTCATGGATAATAGACTCTGAAGCTACTTGCAGTATTTTCATTCTTTAGTAAATTTTACCTTCTGAATTTTTTTCCCCCCCATTCGGGCCTGTGGCTTATTTTGAGGTCGTCCAGTGAACAGCCATTTCATAAACTTATGTAACCTTTCAAATGAAATGAGCACGTTGTTTAGTCATTGTTTACTTTGTATTAACAGTGACCTGCGAGTGTACACGAGTCACCAGAAAAGGCTGAGAAGTGAACTTTACCTCCTAACCTGTAGAAATCTTCTAAGCTATTGTTTCCTATCTGCTGCCTTATTTCTTTCAATTTAAAATCAAAATGAAGTGTGAAAAATAATCTTTCAGGAAGGGAAACTGTATGCAGCACTCCTTTTCACAGATACAGTCCATTCAGGGTCTGGTCAGTACCATGCTGAAGAAACTTCCCCTTCATGAACATCATGACTGTTAGCTGTGAGCATCATGCAGGGCTTGTTGGGTTGACTGGTTGCTGCTGTGTGTTGTCCAGGAGACATGGTGCGCCTTGCTGCTTGTGGCACTGCTTCCCGTGGGCCGGTCCTTCTATGTCCCCGGTGTCGCGCCTCAGGACTTCCATGAGGGCGCTCAAGTAGAAATTAAGGTAAGGCTGAAACTCTAGTAAATTATTTGTGAATTTCATCTGACATTTCACAAGAAGGATGTGGTTTGAAGTTGTGTAATGTTCTCCAGGTTTTAATCTGATTGGTGAGCTTTCAGAAAGCCACACAAGAAACTAAAATTGATCTTCTGTCCCTTGTTTTATTTATTTTTTTAGAGTTGTATAATTATTAGTATCTTATTATTTTATCAACCAACAGTGATCCAGTTCTCCAATTTTACACCTGAACATTGTTGACTTTTTTTTATTTTGACATTCTTAGTAAAGACTAGGCCTGTGACAGTAAGGAATAAATCAATTACTGCATACATCGATTCTCCTCTTTTCTCTCTTTCTACCAAAACCTGGAAGACAAAGTCTTCAGTGATTTTTCCTCTTTTTGAAGGACAATATTGTTTACAGAGACTTCATAATTCATTTTATTTCTTGTTTTTTTTTGTTTGCTTATTTATTTTTGGATATTTAAAATGTCTTCCAGTTCCAGTGTTAAATGTTTATTGGAATTTAAAGTGTATTGATTTTTCTGAATATATTTCTGTGCTATTATGCCATTACCATTATATTAGAAAATGGTCTCAAAACATGAATGATAAATAATATTTATCATTCAGCATCCTAGAAAAGATTTGTCATCTTACATGAAACTCCCCAGTTAACAGTTTTTATGAGCCTTCTGTGTCTCTCTTTGTTTTTAAGAATTGTAATTGGGTTTTTTCACTTGGCCCATTTCACAGCAGAAAATATTTACAAATCTTGTAAACCTGAATTGTCAGAAGATATGAGATAACATCTTAGTGCTGAAAACTGTCAGAAGTTCAGATGAAACAAGCTGCCAGCTATTTAAACTGGCTTTTTCTGCTGGGATTTTCCTCCCAATGGATCATAAATTGTTAAAAAATTTGAGACTTCTGCTCTAAGAACAGCAACATCCTTTTATAAATTCAGGAATCATATCTTCAGTTATCTTTATTTAGGATGTAGAGGTACTTGATGCTTTCAAATGTTTCCTGTTGGCTGTAGACCACATTGCTGGTGTGAGTGAGTGTTTGCATGAGCCAGTGTTGACTGAATGCGATTGTCTTTTCAGGCGGTGAAGCTGACCAGCTCCCGTACACAGCTTCCATATGAATACTATTCCCTGCCTTTCTGTAAGCCTGGCTCTGTCTTATACAAGGCAGAAAACTTGGGTAGGTGGGCTGCCGATTTTGGCATTTATTTTTATAAATTTGCTTTTTTTTTAGCGTCTAATATGTTCATGTTTAAAATGAAAAAATATTTAAACTAATTTTCTATTTTTTATGTTTAATTCACTTGGAGTTTTTTTTTGTGTGGACATTTTCAGATATTTCAATATCTAACTTTAGGAATTCTTGTGCTTTTGTTTCTAATATCTTTTATCCTGCTGTTATTTCCATAGGTGAGGTTTTGCGTGGAGATCGCATTGTGAATACGCTCTACAATGTAAAAATGAACGAGGATAAGAAATGCGAGCTGATGTGCAAAAAGAAAAAGCTCAATGTGGAGGAGAGCAAACTGGTGGCTGAACGAATCCAGGAGGAGTACTACGTTCACCTGTGAGTTCATCCCATTTACCCTCTGTCGAGCAGAAATCCAACAAGCCAGTCCCAAATAATTGCTCTTATTATAATCCAACATGTCTTAGGAACCAGTTTTCAATTTCTCACATTAAACTTGTGTTTATTTTAGTTTTTGCTTTCTTGCATTTATAATCTAACTGTGGGAATTGAAGGCTTGGGAATTGAAAACCAAATGAAGAGTGTGTGTTATTTCAGGATTGCAGACAACCTTCCAGTTGCCACCAGGTTGGAGTTTTACCCCAACAGAGAAACGGGAGGAGATGAAGAGCAGAAGAAGGTTGCAGATAAAGACGTTCAGTTTGAACATGGCTACAGACTTGGCTTCGTTGACAACAACAAGGTAGATTTCACACTCGCCTCTTCAGAAGCAGCTTTTGCCTCAACGCTCACTAAATGACCCAACCCTCATGTTTATCGTTAACCATACAAGTAAATATGAATATAGTAGATATCGTTAAACATCTTTTTATTTCTGTTTTCTGATAAAGGCTTTACATTAACTTTTGAATGTCAGATAAGACAATTTAAATTGTTTAAAAACAGTGAGTTAAATATTCTATATAGATTTTATGAGCTGATAAAGCCCATCAGTAAATAATAGGGGTGCGCTGATTTATTGGCCTGCTGATTTATTGGACCCAATTTCCTTAATTTGGGGAGGATCAGTGATCGGCTGATTTTTACATATGAAGCCGATCTTATCTAACTTAGCAAAGGTAAAAAAAAATCAAGCTCTGTCCTCTTCTGTTTTCCTACAAGAAATTTTTGACTGACAGACCAGCCCACCAAATTATCATTGCACTTTTATAATTAACAATAGTGACCTCACTGTTGCCAACTCAACAACTTTCTTGATGTATTGAGCAACATTTCAGACAAAAAAAATGGTATCAGCCAAAATCGGAATCGGCAGGTTAAGCTTTTTAATTGGTGACCGGTCAGAAAACTGCAAACTCAAAACAGAAAACAAAACACAAATTAAAGATGTTTCCCTCTACTGGTTTGGAGCGAATCAACTAGGCTGTGCAGCAATTGATAGCATGGCTCTAAGTAGATGTCGTAAACTAGCATGGAGCACATATCTTAGAATAATGGAGAGTCTTCCCGTCATTCCAAGCAAGCCTTCATCAGTTCAATCAATTGGATTTCTAGTTCTGAGCAATATGAAACAAAAGTTTGGGAAAGCACTAATTAAATCCTGTGTTTTTTTTTCTTGTTCCAGTTTTATCTGCACAACCACCTGTCCTTCATCCTGTACTTCCACAGAGAGAAAGTAGAAGAGGGAGAGACTCACAACTACAGAGTGGTGCGTTTTGAGGTTGTACCTCAAAGTGTTAAAGTGGAAGGTTGGTATCAACACGAGCTTTCCAAATCCTTTGGCTTTGGTGATTGTGTCAAACCTGAGGTTAACGCTAACTATTTTGGTCAGATGAAGCGAATGTGTTGGTTAGAAAGTCATTTCTAACCGAAAAATTAATTTTTCTGTTTTTAATATGTAGATCTAAAGGCCGTTGAAACAGATAAAACCTGCACACTGCCTGAAGCCAGTGGTTCTGCCCCCCAAGAGGTTGACCCAACCAAAGAAAACGAGATTCTTTTCACATATTCTGTCACCTGGAAGGTCAGCAAAATGAAACCCTTTCTAATCAAAATTCAGACATGGATGTAAACCATCTGAAGCTCTGGATATAAATACATCAGCTGGGCTGACGCAAAGAATAAATAAAACAACACTTCTGATGTTTTTAAATTGAATTTAGAAAATATGCTGGTCAAAAACAGTGACCATAAGGATTTAACTAATCTGTTTAAGATAAAACCACCGTACTTAAATGTTGTAGTTGGCGTAAAATTAAAATGACCATCCATGCTTTTTCAACTAGCAAAACTCAGCTCCCCTAAATCTATTAGCTATTGTTTGATCAGATTTTTTTTTCCTGCTGATTCTGATGGATGTGGTGATGAAACAAATTTATCTCGTTTAAAAGACAAACCTGTTTATCTTTTAGCAGTAATCGGAGATCTCTTCTCAGACATTTAGGCCATCTATAAGTCCTTACTGTCAGTCTTGAAAATGCGTTTAGGAGCATTTACCATCCTGGTGCCATTAGATTTTAGTGTGTTTTCCTGATTTCAAAGCTTGAGTTCACTGTTTGACATGCTGTTGTTGGATACATTTTATACCAAACCAGCTATCAAACTGATATCAAACCTGGTTTCTGTATAAAAATAGATTAGGTTTATCTAAAAAAAGTTAGATAAACCTACTCAAATTCTTTCTCAAGTTGAGTCACAGAACTTCTTGTCTCATTTGCACAGGAGAGTGAGGTGAAGTGGGCCTCTCGCTGGGACACATACCTGACCATGAGCGACGTCCAGATTCACTGGTTCTCCATCGTCAACTCTGTGGTGGTCGTCTTCTTCCTCTCTGGTACGGCTGTAAGACTTCATGATCTTCTTTGTTCACTACTCCAGCAAACCTCTGAGGCCAGAAATGGGACAACAGATAAGAGTAAATGACAAGCAGATAAACTCTATATAAAGTGGTTTATGCTCAGATTTTTGTCTTTGAAAATGTTTTAAATTATCTATCATTTTATTTCCTCTTCACAAAAAATACTATACTGTTGATCTGTCTCATGAAATTCCAGTAAAGTCTACTGATGCTTGTAACTTGACATTTCAAAATGTCCAACTAGCATGAAGAGACTCTAATTATGGGAGTTGATTAGTGGAGAAGTGACAAAAAGTTGCTTTTTTTTATTAAACTTATATCGTCTTTTCTCTTTTGCACATAAGTCATAAAAAACACATAGGACCATCGTACTTCTGCTACTTCCTGTCATCATCTTCCTGGTTTGCACCAGTGGTAACATATGGTTGTTGATGCAAAAAAATATTGCCATTACAGTTTAGTGAAATAAACCAAATCAGAATCAACTTTTATCGTCATCATATAGCAAAGAAAACAGACAACATAGGACATGGATAGAGGATGCCTGAGGCTGCAGCTTTTGTAAGATGAGGATAATAACATCATATCTCACAGTGTCAGATTTGACACAGTATGAGGTTTCAAAAGAAAAACAAAAACCGCATCATCCTAGCACTGCAATTTTTTGTTGAAATACAAGAGTTTTGTTTGTTGTTTTTTTAGCTTTCGATTAAACAAATTTTTTTTCAAAATGTCAAACTGCACAGTTATATGGTTCATGGAAACTCAGCTACTGTTGTGTCGTTCTAAATGTCACAGCAAGAGTTTGTCTTTCTGGCATTGCATGAACCCTTTCTGCTTCTCTGCCTTTGTCTTCTAGGGATTTTGAGTATGATCATCATTAGAACCTTGCGGAAGGACATTGCCAACTACAACAGAGAGGACGACATTGTAAGAAAATACAAAACGGATCAGAGTGTTTGCTCCAAGAAATCGTTTTCATCTTTGAGATTTTCTTGCCTGTTGAAATCTGGTTTTTGTTCAGAGGCTCAGTTCAGTTTTTTCTAAGCAGAGATTCTCATTTCTAACCAGGAAGACACGATGGAGGAGTCAGGATGGAAGAACGTCCATGGCGATGTCTTCAGACCGCCGCAGTATCCCATGATCCTCAGCTCCCTGCTGGGCTCAGGGATCCAGCTTTTCTGCATGATCCTCATTGTCATCTGTGAGTTTGGCTTCCATCCTCTTTGCTCTACAAAACTTTGACATTTTTGAAATTCTTAGTCCTTGTACAATAAAAATTATTAGGCATGTTTATATGCCTAATATGAAGCCTAATAAAAATTATGTTTGTATGAATGAATAACTAAACAATAAAACACAAACTACTACAGATTGTTGTTTTCATTTAGCCTGCCTGTTCTCACTGTGCTTATCGTGTTGCTTCAGCTCAGATCCACAGTTGAATCTTTCCTCAGCTAATAACTCGTCTGTTTTTGTGTTGCAGTTGTTGCCATGCTAGGCATGTTGTCTCCATCCAGCAGAGGAGCCTTGATGACTACTTCATGTTTCCTCTTCATGTTTATGGGGTAAAGGCCTCAACAGCTGCTCTAAATCCTCACAGAAACAGAATAAGGTGATGTTCTCCCAATCAGAATACCTCTAACCTGTGGATGTTTTTCCTTCAGTGTGTTTGGGGGTTATTTTGCTGGCAGACTGTACCGCACACTGAAGGGCCATCGGTGGAGGAAAGGAGCATTTTGTGTAAGTCAATCTTTAATGTTTTTTAAAAAAAAATATATATATATATATATTCTTATGACAGGATTGCATTCACTTCATCCAGTCTTTCTGGTTGAAGTGTAGTTCACTAGAAACTGATCGTATGGGACAATAAAGCTGCGGTTTTCTTCTCTGGTCAAAGTCAGGCACAGAGCAACACAGTCTACATCCTAAAACATTCTAACACAAACAACAGTGATGCTCGACTTACTGACTATAGCGTCAGTAAGTATAATGTGTCTCAAAACATGTAGAGCAGAACTCTGTTTCAAAGTTGAGTCTGACTACTAAGCAATTTGTAAGGTTTCAACTGTGTTTAATGCATCATTTGTATTATTGTTATTTACATACAACTGCAACATGAAAATTGTTCTCTGATTTCCATGCATAAAACCAACTTTATGTTTTGCTGGACTGAGTTTAGGGGAGCAACTGGGGCTGAAGTCTGTTTTTCATTTGTTTCTCTTCTAGACGGGCACTTTGTATCCCGGAGCGGTGTTTGGAATCTGCTTCGTTCTGAACTGTTTCATTTGGGGGGAGCACTCCTCGGGAGCAGTGAGTTCAGTCCTTTGAAACCCAACCAGAAAGGTTTTATACTGGGAGTAAATGCTACTAAACCTCTGAAGCTTTTCTGGATCAAAAATTATAGTCTGTGTAAAATATTTCAGTTCTTACTTGTTGTTATCTAATGTGGCCATAGGCAGAAAAAAAATAAAAAAATACTTCCTGGTGATGTCACAACCCGATACTGTGATTCAAATTGATCAGTCTAAAGGCAGGCACATCTGGAGATGATAAAATTAACTCCAGATTATTTTTAGAATCAGTAAAATAGACTTTTAATTTAATGCAGGGAGGAGGCTTTGAAGCAGATGCCAACTTCACATTGTTGGTGGCTAATAGTTAGCAGTCCCTGTCTGTTCATTATTTATGTAAGCAAGTGTTGTCAGCCAGTCTGCCATTACAGGAGCAGTGTTATGTAAAATCAACTTTTTGGAGCTGGACATCATATTATAATGTTTTTCCTTCATCAAAAACATTCCTGGAGTTTTGCTTTGATTCTTTCACGCATGCTTGAGAAATCCTGTCCTGCTCTGGGTTGCAGGTTCCCTTCACCACCATGCTGGCCCTGCTGTGCATGTGGTTCGGCATCTCCATGCCTTTGGTCTACCTGGGTTACTACTTTGGTTTCCGTAAGCAGCCTTATGATAACCCGGTGCGCACCAACCAGATTCCCCGCCAGGTCCCGGAGCAGCGCTGGTACATGAACAAGTTTGTGGGGTGAGTGTGCTCCAGGTCCTCGTCCGTTCTATTTATAGATTGATAGCGCATGAACTAAAAGTTTTCTTCTCTTTCTCTACTTCCCAGAATCCTCATGGCTGGGATCTTACCGTTTGGCGCCATGTTCATAGAACTTTTCTTCATATTCAGTGTAAGTCATCTCATCTTTTCAGTTCAAAGGAAATGAAAATGAAGGTTAGATCCCAGGCTCTGCAACATCCTCATCAATGTGTTTGTATCGCCACCCGCAGGCCATCTGGGAGAACCAGTTTTACTACCTCTTTGGCTTTCTGTTCCTGGTTTTCATCATCCTGGTGGTGTCCTGCTCTCAGATCAGCATTGTGATGGTCTATTTCCAGCTGTGTGCAGAGGTAAGGCCGGCGAGACGCAGGAGGGTTGCTATGGTTACGTGGCATGGAGAACGATGATGTGCCGTGTCTGTGTTCCTCACCGTCAGGACTACCGGTGGTGGTGGAGAACGTTCCTGGTGTCAGGAGGCTCTGCTTTCTACGTCCTGATTTACGCCGTCTTCTACTTTGTCAATAAGGTAAAAACCAGGAGAACTCAACTCTGATCAGAGCTTCACTGAATCATTCTTCATCACAATAAACTGCTGTCTGATTAAAAGTCTCTAAAAAAGCTTTACATGGACATAAGAAATAATTCAACTCAAAAATACTTTTCTGATTGCTGAGGGAAATGAAATGTTATCGCTCATATTAAAATGTTTTCAATTCCAATTAAATAAAGAAGTCCGCCTTAAATATGTTAATCATAGATGACGGGTCTATTTGTTTTAGACATCTTCATTACATTCTGTGAGTTAAGGTGTCTGATGCTACCGCTAACTAGCTGCTAACATACCTGTGGCAGCATTTTGTGTCTATCATTGGTAAGTGAAATTATCACCAGTTGACAGGACAACATTCATGTTCACCACCGGCTCATTTCTGTTGCCAACAAAAGTGCATCATGGGCTTCAAAAACAAACAAACAAAAAAACTCCTTCTACCATGTAAAATATGCAATTTTCCTTTGTACGTTTCTGTTATAATGAAAGTCTTGAATTTCAATCATAACGGTCTTAAAATGTCTGAAGTTTGAGTTGGTGAAGCCTTGCTGCAGGACGACATTAAATGTTCATGGGTTTGTGTCAGGGAAGAAGTTGGGAAGCTATCAGTCAAACTGACCTCCATTTTAGAAATGTCAAACTTAGTCAAGCTGAAAATATTTATATTTATGACATGTCGACCACTGGTAAGTCTGTCATTGTTTCCAGTCAAAGCGCCTTCCCTGCTGCTAATTGGTTGGGAAACGGTGTGTAACGTTATCAGGCTTCCTCCTCTCCAAACATGACCTCTGTCTGTTTCAGGTGTTTCTCATTTAAAAACTCAAAATCACTTTCTGTGTGTGTGATTTGTCTCCAGCTGGACATTGTGGAGTTCATCCCCTCCCTGCTGTACTTTGGTTACACCACCCTCATGGTGTTGTCCTTCTGGCTGCTAACGGGGACAATCGGTTTCTACGCAGCCTACATGTTCATCAGGAAAATCTACGCCGCGGTCAAGATCGACTGATTCCCCGGAGCTGCTGCTGTCCTCCTAGTTCTTGGTTTATTTTTCAGAATTTTTTTTAATACGTTTGTTTTTAAATTTTTTTTTTTGTTCAACAAGCTCTGACTTGTGTGCAGAAGGAACAGGGGTTTATAAATATGATGCAGCAACCCCATCTGCTGGCCACATGGTGGAATAACAGCCAAACAGCTGTGTGCAGCTTGCTGTTTTCCCCGTCCCTCCCTCCTGTCCTCCGTGTCGGGACAGAGACCTGGACGGCGGCGTCCTCTACTGGGAATGTTGCTGTCTCCTGTCACCTCGCCCTGCACACACACACAGCGGGCCAAAGCTTGTCAGATAAATTTCTGCACAATTTTTTTTCCAATGTTTCCAACGTAAAGTTTTCATTTTGGCCATTATTATATTTTTTTGTTGTTGTTTTCTTTTCTTTTTTTCTTCTCTTTTAATTGTCTCCTTGGATGCCATTTTCTTGTGTTTTCTTCACACCGATCACGTCTGACTCTTGACTGATTCTGCTGTCACGGGGAGACTTTAAGTTTCGGTTCAGAGACTTTCTGGATCTGGGTTTTGGTGTTTGACTTGATGGGGAATTATGCTGGTCTCTTTTATATTGTAATACAAGAAAATATCCCACGACTTTTTTTTTTAATGAGTTTGCCGTGTCCCCGTTGGAACCAAGTTACCCACAGTCCGTCTCGGCGTACCAGTTCGTTTATTCTAAACGTTTCAGAACCTCTTCTGATTGGACGTAAATATTTGGAGCAAACGGCGGTGGCAACGCGACACAGGCGGGACGAACGGCACGAAGGAGGAGACCGCTTGAACGCAGAACGTACTGATGCATCTTCAACAGTGCAGCCTTAGCAGTCCCAGAGAACTATGCAGTAATGGAAAGAGTGTTTAAAGCTAATATCCAAGGGCCATATTTGTTTAGAAGGAGAAAAATAATCACATTAGTTTACATCTAAAGTTTGATCAGATCAGATCTGCATCATTAGCCGCAGCTGTAAATGTTTTCACACATCAGTGCTGAACATTTTCAGGAGATCTTTGGTTCTGGAATCTTGTCTGATAAAGTGTTCTGAAACCCAGCTTGTGTTATCCGGATCTCTCACTCCACAATCCTCCCTGATGGAAAATCTTTCCGCTTGGAGCATTTTTAAAAAAATTTTTTACACGCTTTACATCCCTCCACGACTTCTCCATAAAGCTGCAGCGAAGTGTGTGAAAATGGCTTTCAACAGAGTTTCAGCTGTCCAATGTTCTTAAAACACACAGTCAGCTGGTGTTACAGGTCTGTGCATTTTACACATCAACTTACTTTCTCCCCTGACACTTTAGCTGAAAAACTAACTTTAAAAATGGTGACATTAAGGGCTTCCCAAAGATGATCCGTCGTAGCAAAAACATTGAGATGTGTACAGTTTTGCTCAGTGGCTACAGGAGAAAGTTGAGTGATTCATTTAGAGTTTAAAATCTATTCCCTTCCTTCACATCTGACATGTTATTGGTGTGAATAATACAGATTAATTTATAATTAGCACTAAAGCTATGAATTTCTTTGTGCCTGTGGTGAGTGAACGGCTCCAGCAGCTTCTATGAATAACTGGATATGTTTTCAGATTTCCTGAAATCCCACAAAATCTTTATTCCGGGCTCATCGGCACAGAATCCAGCTAACGGACTGAATGTTGCACAAGAGGAAATTTTTTCAAAGTGAAATGGAAGTGACATGTATTTCATTTATTTTGGAATTTGAATTAAATGACATATTTCTGGGAGAGTTTTCTTCTTCACGCCCTTTTCAGTGTACTGGTACTTAAATCTTCACTCAATTAAACCAAGAAAGTGGAAATGAGTCATTTCCTGGTTCTTACTATAATCCCAAACTGCTACGAAGGAGCTCCCAGAGGAGAGGCGAGATGAGCTGAGATCAGCTGAAGTCTGGCTTGGTGAATTCTTACAGATTTATTTCCATTTGCTTGTGAAACCTTATCAAACTTTCCGAATCCTCTTTACTTCTGCCTGATTTTAAGGTGGAGCCACTCGTCTCCTGCTGCTGAGGTTCACATGCCAGGAGAGATTTTTGTTTTTTTCAACAGACTCAAGAGGCCTGGGTTCTGTGTGTGTGAACAAATGCACGGATCAGGGTTCACAGTGTAAATAAGAGCTTTGTATTTGTTACGTTTGGCTGTTTGTGGCACTCTGTAATGATTCCTGTCATTGTTTTAGCCAAAAGCATGATGCTCTTGATAACTTTTAGAGCAACGTTTTTTTTTTGTTGTTTTTTACTTTCTGTTTGTTTCTTTTACAGATTGTCTATATACAAAATGTACAATGACAATAAAGAGACGACAAGTTGAATATGAATATGAAAGCTGGCTCCTTTTTTGACTTTGCAGGACAGATTCTGATAGACTTTCTCTACCTGGTAGGAATGATGTAAATAGAAGCAACTTCTTCTCAAAGACCCTTCCTGAAGTGCCTGCTGCGCTCGCTGGTGTTCATGCTGTTCACAAACACATCAGTGTTTGTTCAGAGCTTCTGGATTTCTCCTGAAGTTAATCTTTGGCAATATGTTGCCCTTAGGTTTTAATCATGGTCATCAGAAGAAAGGAGGCTGAATAGAAATGTGCAACGTATTTTTGAAGAGATTGAAAAAAAAAAGAGCAAAACCATTGTATAATTTTTCTTCCCCTTCACATTTATGCTACACTTTATATTGGCCAGTCACATGAAAACGTTGCAATTTGTGGTTGGAATCCACCAAAATGTGGACAAGTTCAGGAGTGGAAATGTTTTTGTTGACGCTGTACATGAACCCCTCATTTAAATGTTGCAAATCATAATCTGGCTGTGCATCCAGATGGGGTGGTTCTCCGGCCAGCCGTCTTGGTTTACAGTGATAAATCACCTCACTGCTTCTTTCCATGTGAAAGTGTTCATTTGTGTTCAGAGTCTGGCATCCCGCCTGGTCTTGTGTTGGTTTTCCTCCAGATTCTGCTGAAGAACATGCTACAAAACCAAAGCAGCTGCTATTCCTGGATTACGGCACAAATCCCGTCCTGTAAATATGTACGGGAGTCTGCTCAGCTGATGTAAGTATAGGTTTGCTATAATAAGGCCAGTCTTTACAACTCAAGCCAGGCACTCAGACATATTCGTCCAGCTCCTTTGAGACGCAGTCCAGACTCTGGACCGGGATGGGAAAGTTTTATTGTTCTTTAGATCGTCACATAATTTCTGTCATATTTTTTGGCCACTTTGCGTAAAGCAGCTGTCCCCGTTTTCTTCTGACCTGTCACAGACAGCCACAGGAAAAGTCAGGATCATGTTTTTGATGAAGCCCAACTTAAAAGATTAAAAGTTCCTGGCCACTTGCTGGCATACTTAAAAACAAATTTTACATGCATCCAATCGTTAAGACACGGCTAAGATTTAGTCACATCAAAAGCTACCGGCTGCAGACATCGAACAGTGTTTTTACCTTTGTCCTACCATCACAAAGGTAAAAACCAAACGCCACTGGAAGTCTCCCATGACTCTTTACACAGGACAATAAACACAGGACTGCAGATAGGGTATGAAACCACTGGTTTGTCTTTTAATTATTTCAACATAACACATGAGAAGTCAAAGATACACTGTACTGTACAATAAGTCAATATTTCTGCTGTTGTGTTCATCTCTTTGGATCAACCAATATACATCTGTCACTAAGAAATTGCAGCAACTGATTACATGAGATATGTTAAAGAGGAAGACTCCTGATGTGGATCCTTGAACTCTCCCTGTAGTCGATAAGCTCCATGCTATATAACATAGTGTGAGAGGATGCAAGTAGCTTGTTATTGTTCACCTTTTTTTTTTCTTAAGTTTATTCCCAAAGGTGGATGTAGTTGCTTGTAAAAAAATAAAAACGGGCTATGTCACCTAACAAGATACACAAAGAGGATGGAATGCACGACTTACATTTTAGCTAAAAAAATATATAAATCTACACGTGGATGCCGTCTGCACCAGACATTACCCAGGTTCGTACTAAAGCCAAAAAGACGAGAGAGGGCGGGAGAGGAACAGGATCGCTCAAATCAAATCAGCAATTTCTCAGGTTTACAATGATGGAAACAATTCCCTTAAAAAAATGTCTGCACCGCACCTACCAGTAAAAAGGAAAGAGAGAGAGGATAAGTGCATCCCTAGTAGGTGCAGGCTGAGGTATTGGAGCTGCAGCCAAGCGGATGACCAGCGCAACATCTCTGTCAGAGCGCGGCGCTTCAGAAGCGTCTGTGTCTCAGCGGTTTCGTTCCACATAAGCTTTGGGCGACAGATTTATCACGAAATCATATGGCAATAATAGCAATAGCAATAACTATATTGGCTGTGACTGCATGGGACAGAAATCAATCTTTCTTATTCCTAAAGCGGTTCTGGTTTCAACTCCTACATATTTTGTTTCCCCTTTTTCATACTAGATTTGGACAAATTCTCAAAATCTTGTCAATAAACAAGATATTAACGTCATATGAGATTCAAACGCACAAGTTTGGGACTGAAGCTGCAGCTGCTACACCTGGTCACTGCTGCAGCTTCAGCATGACTTTTTAACAGGTTGAAAAAAATCATTTAAAAAAAGTAGTGGCTCTATGATGAAGACCATAATTACTTCATAGCAGAGGTGACTCTGACTTGTCCAGCTATGTTGAGAAAACGGCCGGAAGGAGCCGCAGTTTGACTGAGGCCCTTCATCCACAGAACAAATGGGAGCAAATTCTCACTGAAATACAAACCAAAATGACCAGATCAACCTCAGACGTTTTCTTGGAGAAACCATGGACATTTCTGAGTTTGAAAAATCAAACATTTTGAAAGCAAAAACTCAAGAGATTTTGAGAGAGAAGCTTCAGAAAAATTCTCAAAAGCCAAAATGTTTTAAGTATTTATTATGTACTCCAAAATGTCCAAGTTTTGTCTATGAACACTATCCTGAGATGAATCTCAATTATTTTGGAATTTTCTCCGACAAATTTCTGATGCGTCAAACTCAGACATGTCCTGCTGTTTCCCTGGAATTTTTTTTTTTTTTATCAGGAATTTGTTTTTTCCACGGTTCAAGCTCAGAAATGTCCACATTTTTTTCAAGAAAATTTCTGAGATCATTCAAAATTTCTGAGGATTTTTCGAGCAAACCTATGACTTTTAGATCTGACGTTTTCTAGATTAATCACAAAATATGTTTTTGTTTTGTTTTTTTTTAAAAAGAAATTTACTCCACTTTTCTTTTCCATCAACAACGGCCCTAACACCCCTAATCCTGACGCAGCGAAGACGTCTGAGTTTTTGCTGCAGCAGGAAAACTGATTGGCTGTGATTGGCTGTGATTGGCTGCGACGGCAGCTCTGTTCACCATCGCCTCTGAGGAACAGACATGCTGCTGCTGCTGTTTTCTTCAAATGCTTGGCTGCAGTTTGACTAGATACACTTTTGACAAAGCAAAGGCGAAGCTGGTTAAGTCCAAAGCAACAATGGAACAAGGCGGAAGGGAGCGGGGAGCTCTTCTGTAGAAGGATATTAGTCAAAAGGTTTATCAAAAATACTGTTATTCTTTTGGAGAAGAGAAATACACAAATCCTGATAAAGTTTAAACATCAAACTAATGGCACATACATATACAGGATCAATACAAAATTAAAAACATATGAACATATAAGCTGAAACTTTAAAAGAAAAAAAAAATACTCTTTTTTTTTAAAGTTGAAAGTGCTAGAATTCAGATTAGCTCACAGAAACCCAGGGAGGACAAACTTAATGCACACTGAAAGCTTTTTTTCTTCTTCTTCTTTCCTTTCATTTGGGGACAAAATGAGAAATTTGTTCCAAAAACATAAATGCTCGATGGGACTGCTACAAATTTGGCTTAAACCAAAAGAGTTTTTCTTTAAAAAGTCTCAAAACTCTTACAAAGACAAAAAAATAAAATAAAATAAAATAAAAATCTAATTTTAATCTTCGGTTTACAATAGAAATTCTAGGGAAGGTGCCGACAGCTATTCCTATAGGATCATCAGGAAGTTTGATCAATCATATAACATACTGATTTAATCTCATAACTTGTGTAATTTTACATTGATATTGGAATAATAATAAAAAAATAAGTATAACTTTGACGACAATGTGAAGCTGTGTAGTTTTTAACCTTTAGACACCATCGCTCAGTCAGAATCATCCAATCCTATCAAGTGTGCTTTTCCAATGCACCGGGCTGACAGCGGCCCACTGTCGGGGCTCCTTTTCCTACGCAAACATTTTTAAAAAATTTTTTTAAATGTGAAGATTTCTTAATAAGCTACTGTGCAAAGATGTAGTTTCTTCTCCCAAGGTTTTGGTAAGAAAATAAACAAATAAAAATGAGGTGATGTGTTGTGTTGTTTTTTTTTTTTTTTTTTCTCAAGGTCCTGTTTCATATAAACAGAAAATAATATATCATGAAAAAAAAACAAATACATAACTATAAGTAATTTCCCCCCCACAAGTTGTGCAGTCAGTCCCTTTGCACCTTCCTGTTGCTTTGAATGTCAAAGCCCAGGAGGTTCGATGACTGCGCTCTCCTGGAGTCGCCGTGTTTTCAGACCCTTTTATTCTACAGAGCAGCTACAAAAATAAAAAAAATGAAATAAAATTTAAAAAAAGAGGAGGAGAGGAGTAACGAAGTGGTGGGGCTGATGAACACTTTGTTGGTTTGGCTCACTGTCTATGTTTCAGAAAGAAAAAAAAAAAGCTTTCAAAACGTTCTAGTGGTCTACAGTTGTCGTACATCACCAACCGTGGCTAAAGCAGCAATATGAGATTTAGCTTCAATGCTTATGTGCTATGGTTTTGGATTATGTTTTTTTTTTCTTTGTTAATTGTTTTTTTTTTTTTTTTTTTTTTTTTTTTTTGTCCCAGTTAGGGCTCACCTGATGCGTCACTAAACATAAAGAGAGTCGGTGTAAAATCGTGACAATATTTATGGATGAAATAAGATGCTGAGAAGGAGTGAGATGAACATTCAGATTCTGTCTGTCGTTTCAGGAACAGAACAAAAAAAAAGAGACGTTTTGTTGATATAAATGTGATGGGAGTTCTCTATAGTGTGGTCACTGTGAACAACACGCTGTGTTTCTTTTAAAAATGTATTTCATCTGGAGTCTCATGAAAGCTTACTTTGGAAAATTAGACGCAACAACTCTTTACATGCTGTCAAAAACAATAGAAAACAAACGTTTTATAGTTTAAGAAAAAGTCCAGTTTGGAAACGAAAAGCGGTAAAACTTTATTTGACGGGTTGTGAATAACACTGTCAAACATGAGCAAGTCTTCACGAATATTTATGACTGCTCTCATAAAGACTGCCATCGGTAAATCATGACACTTTTAAAACAAAGTCGACATTATTCACAATGTCTTGACATTAACCAAGAAATCGTGATCTGACATGAATTTGTTATAAAAGTATTACTGATTAAAGTTGAATAATGATGTAGCTTTATGTTATAAAAGCTAACGTTTGCTATAATGCATCCTATAATGTCGAAAATCATTTTATTTTTTAGAAACATCTGAAGCCAAGAAGCCACAGTGACCACACCATAAGAGAATTACAACAGACCGGACTAAATCTGAAAGGATTCCTTTCAAACTGGATTTTTAGGCTTTAAGTTAACTTTGGACTGAGGTGTTTTATAGGCTCTTGGTTTAAGGTTAGAACTCCAAGGCCTCCAGTTTGAAATACTTAAATGCCGTCCACGTGAGCATCCCTACGACACAATCTACAGCTCGCTCAAACACTAGCTGACGACTAAACCACTAGCAGCCTCCTACAAATAATTCCCATCCAAATTTGGATTCTTCTTCTCCGACTCAAGTACAACAAGCAACGGTCGGATACGACAGAGAAAGAGCTTGAGGGACAAAGAAAATACTTCATCTTTTTCTTCCTCGAAAAAGAAAAAAACATAATGCAAGATACAATCAAATGTAAACCTGCAAGACATTAAAAACATTGTCACTTAGTTTTAATACATCTACCTAAAACACACATTAAAAGCAATTTCGATATTTATTTTTGAGATATTTCGTACACTGCAATAACATTCTTAAAAACATTTTTACTTATCGGCGACTAATTTCCTTTGTTCTTTTCATCCATTCACATATCTCAGGGTTCATCATTCACCTTGATGATGCATCTTTTTAAAAGACTGCCTAAAAAATGAGTTTGGAGTATTTAAAAAAATAAAAATAGACATGCCTATCTTAACCCGGGTGCGATCCTAACATTCTGTTCACTCCCCTTGTCCTACGGGTCAAAAATGACCCGCCCTAACAAAAGCCCCAAAATAAAGCAAATTGATTGAATTTTAAATCCAAAATCTATTTTGCATGATGAAACAATCTGTTACTTATCAATTCAACTCAATTTAATACCTTTTTTTTTATCATGTGTTTTTTTTACACAATAAACAGGATTACACTTTTTTCTTTTTACCACAAACCAAGTGTTGTAGCAGTTTTCTTTTACATAGTAAAGGTTTATTATTGTATTTATATAAATGTGAAGTTATTACTTCTGAATTAATTATACTGGAAGAGGAAATAAGTCAAAAATGTGAAACTTTTTAGTCACCGGTTCATTCCTTAGTATTTCTTTTAGAAAGTGAAATATAAAAATACCTCCCATAACACAACAAAACAAAATGTGGCTTGATTTTGTGAACAATTTCACATCAGCTCTTATCTCATAATTATATGAGATGTTCAGCACAAGAACATCTCCTGCTCAACATGAGGTTTTGAACTTATAAGATGTTCTTATGTTGAACATCTTCAACATAAGACGAAGAACATCCAATGCCTAACTCCCCATGTTAAACACAAGATGTTCAAGAAAATCTTAAACGTCTTGAAGATGTTCTTCACCCTATGAAGACGCTCCTGCCGTGACCAAGAATTTGTTCAAAATAAGATGTTCGACTCCTGATGCTAAATATCCCATATAGGTCAGTATAACTCTTTTTTCTGGTGTTTAAATACTTTTTTAATTCACGGGTTCAAAATGACCTGTAAGACAATCCTCGTACTCTGGTGGTGTTCAGTTTCACTCTTTCTAATGACGGGGTCAATTTAGGAAAAGTCATCAAATTTCAAGCCAGAAAAAGATCATTGAGGGTATTTTTCCTACAGCTAGACATGGTGATGGGTCACTTTTGACCCGCAAGACGACACAAGGGTTGAGAAAAGATATGTAAGGCAGCCAAGAGAATGCGTCCACAAAAAAAAAAACAATAACGGAAACTTTTAAAGGTAACTCCAAGGAGGAAGAAGGAATGGGAGTCCGACGCACCGTCACCCTCTGCAACAATACGGATTTTTCCTTCCCTGACATCAGCATCATGTCTGCATCATGTCTGCATCATGTCTGCATCATGACATCAGCATCATGTCTGCATCATGTCTGCCAGCCCTGGACACCTCACAGCTCATTTTTGTCTCAAATGCAGACCAGAAGTTTTCAACCTGTGCACCTTCTGTTGGCATCCAAATTTAGGGACTGCGTCCTCCGAAAGTCTCCCAGTGGACATAAGCTGGGTCCTTCGGTTACCGGATGCTCCAGCCTTCAGGTTTATCTCTGCCCGTGTCACATAGGAACAATAGCAGGGCTAAACACAAGCTAGTAAAAATGAACATAGCGTTTTTATTACCTCTTTGTCTTGTTTATTAATTAAATTATTATTTTTTATTTAAAACCCAAATATTAAAAACAACGCAATTGACAAAAGATTAACAATACGACGGCTTTAGGCTTTTAAATTTTCTATCGCCAGATATTAAAATATTTAAAATCGTATTCCTCTCTCACTCTCATTTCCTGCTTCATCCGCCATCGTTAGAACAAACAATTTCCCGTTCGACACGCAATGCATCTTGGGATTGGGTGGGCTGCGAAGGTTTTGCTCGGCCCGTCCTTCAAATGGGGAGTCTTTGCGTTTGGACAGTCACATCTCTTAGATGCAATCGGTCTTTAAGTGCGGCCTTTGACGGATGCAGTCCCTGAATTTAGACACTTTCAATGCAGAAAAGCTGTCATTCCAACTTGGAAGTTACGCAATTGAGTTTTTCGCAAACTACAAAACTGATGTGGTGAGAACTGACATCGTTCTGTTTCTTGACTCTTGCAGGGTCTGCACATATCTTAGAAATAGAGTGCATGAAAAATTTGTTCTCCTGGTTTAAGGTTTACGCAGTTTTGTAAACCGTGCATGTCGACTTCTGAATAAGTGGCGTTCCGCAGAGCTCTGTAGTTTTTTTCTAGCCCGCACAAAGAGGCTTTTATACGAAAGTACGAGGGAGGAGACGAGAAGCGAAGTGCCTTCTGTTAAACAAAAAAGTGCTTTTCTTGAGAAACGACAACAACAAAAAAGTTGTGGTAAAGCTCATCATTTCTTACGTATTTCTTCCGTGTTTGCTCCTAAATCAGGCTAACTCTCGTGTCATTATTTGAAGAGCACTTATTTTGGAGGTTGGGGTTGTTTTGCGGGTCTGGGAGAAACTACCGTTCATCTCTTTTCCCCACTGAGCTCCCTCCTCTCCGAACTAATCGAGACGATTCAGAGTGTTAGCATGGGTGGTTCAAAACTCAACATATGAAACATTCTACCATGTTCTTACGTTTGGGGGCAGAACAATAAAGTAAAAACAAAATTTCCACTTCAAACTATATTTTTCTGGGTCACAACAAGACAGATAATCTCCACTAAAAATTATCTTTGTTTTTTTTTTCTTTTTTTCTTTTTATATTATTACTTTAAGTATGCAGTACCACGCCTTTAGGCCTACTGATCCTGCCCTCTATTCTACTAAAAAGGGGGAATATAAAAGGGGAAGTAAATGAAAAACAAAAAAACATGGGTTAATACATTGTTATATCTATAGGATAAGGGGGGGAAAAAAGCCCAAATAAAAGCTGCTTCACTTCTTTTCTTATATTTTCCTTTTTGCTCAAAGGGGTTTCAACTTCCTTTTAAGGCTCAATCAAAAGCTTTTGTGCGCACTTTCATTTAAGGCTTCTAAGTGTTCATTTACGCATTTATTTTGAAACTTAAATCTCCAACTTTTCCTTCAGGCCTTGTTCATCGTGACCTGAAATATCCAAGCTGAGCTTGTGCTGGTGTGGAGGAGGCCACCTTGGCAGGGAAGAGGCTGCCTCTGTCACTGAAAGGCCTGGTGAAAGCGAGGCAACGTGGTGTTACTAAGGCTGGAGCTGAACACTGGTGGAAGGGGGTGCAGGGATCCAAAGCCTAGACCCCCGCTGGAGCTCTGCTGCTCCTGAGGTTGCGGTTGCAAAGAGGTAAGAGGTGCCGTGGCGACGGCAGCTGCTGCCGCTGCGACTGCAGCAGCATGGGGCTCGGCGGCGTGCAGAGATGAAGAGGAAGAGGAAGAAGTGGAGGAGGTCACAGATGAGGTGTACCCCATAACCAGTCCTCCTGTGCTCATAGGGGCACTATAGGGAGGAAGGTTTAGGGGCAGGAAACCCAGCAGGTGGGAAAAATCCATGTTAGCAGCACACAGAGACTCAGCGATCACTGCAGGGCTCTTGGACAGGAGGGGATCCCCGCAAAGCTCATCGGCCAAGCCTGAAGTGGGCTCCAATCCATCCTTGGGGGGTGAGGCAGCAGCATGGGGCTCTGCAGAGGGAACCGGGCCTGGTAGACCACTCTGCAGATCCATGAGGAAACTCTCCATCTCTACTTTCAAGGGCTTGTCCAGCAGGTATGAGGTAGATCCCAGCTGGTATTTGGGTGCTGGCTGGGGCTGGTGCTGTTGCTGGGGAGCCGCAGGCTGGTGGTGCGGGGGCGTTGGAGGGGAATGGTGATGATGGTGATGGTGGTGGTGGTGGTGATGGTGATGGGAGTGTGGATGAATAGACGCAGTGGATTCCATATGACAGCCTATGCCCATAGCTGCAGACAAGGAATTGGGCATTAGGGAAGGATGTGGAGGACCCACACCAGAATTAGACATGGCCTGGAGATGGTGAGGGTTATACATGCTCATGGGAAAGGGTGCCCCGCTGGGGAATGATTTTCCCATCATGGGGTCTTTGTTGGGCCCCATGCCGCACATCATGGGGCTGAGTTCCTCCTTTACTGAGCACGGTGGAGATCCTGTGGTCAACAGGCCCAGCATATCCGGAGGCTCTGTCTTAATCTTCAGCAGCTCCTGTGAGTGGCTCTTCTTCACATGCCGTGTCAGATGGTCTTTCCTGCCAAAGCGCTGGGCACAGTACTGGCACAGAAAGTCTTTTCGCCCTGTGTGGACCACCATGTGCCGTCTCACATCTTTCCGTGTGTAGAAGCGTCGGTCACAGTGATCGCAGGGGTGTTTTTTCTCCTTGGCGCCACCGGAAGACTTCCCCGAGTGGCTCTTGAGGTGCTCCAGGAGAACAGGTGTGCTTTCGTAACTCTGCATGCACACTTTGCAGGTTAAATCCCCCGCAGTGGCTGAGTGCATGGCCACATGGCGCTTGTATCCCAGCTTGGTATTGTAGTGCTTTCCACACTCCTCACACTTGAAGGCCTCTTTGTTGGGGTCATGGGTCTGCAGGTGGTTCTTCAGGTGGTCTTTGCGGTGGAACATTTTTTCACAGAACGAACACTGATGGGTCTTCTGCGGAGAGTGTGTGGCCATATGCCTGCAAATAATGACACAATGCAAAGGTGATGTAGAAAACATCACAGATCTTATGTCTCACCATCATGTATTCTGCAGATAAAGAAAACTTCTGCTTGCAGAAGTTAGAAACTCAAGTCAAAATAACGTTTTTTTGGAACAGTTTGGGAGTTTCACCAAGAAATGGCCGAGAATGTTGATTAACCAATATCTTGATTGAACTTTGACAACTTAATAGCTTTGTTTTATCATTGGACACCATGTCATCTCCAAATCATATGATTCCACTGAATTAGGTGTTTTTTATTTAGGGTCATCAGAGTAAAAAGGCATGCAACAATTTTTAATTAACAACTACATATAAACATAAAAGCTTAGATTAAGCCTCATTGTGGTCGGTAACCAAATTCTATCAAATTGCAGATGGAGGAAATATGACTGATACCTGAAGAGTTTGTACTTGGAGCTGAAGGCCTTGGGACAGTGCGGCTGTGAGCAGTGGAAAGGCTTCTCTCCGGTGTGACTCGAAGTGTGGAGCCGGAGCTTCTCCTGCGTGACAAACAGGGCCCCGCACACCAGACACTCGTTCCCACTTGCTCTTCCTACTTTCTCTCCGTCCTCTTCCCTTTCTTTCCCCCGGTCTCTCTCTCTCTCCGTCCGTGGCAGCGGGGCGGCGCTCCCAAACAGCTTGGCGGCAGTGCGTCGTCCCTCTTCCTCCGGCGTCAGTGCGGTAATACAGTGTGAGGCATCGGCGGCAGCAGCTGCCATGGCAGCCCTAGAGTGCCGCTGCCATGAAAGTCACATGCGGTTCCCCTGCCTCGCAGGCTCAACGTCGGAAGGTGTTGGGGAGAAGCGAAAGGTGACCGGCCGTTCAAAGGTTGCGTCTGGTTTATAGCTGGAATATTGCGGTCAAACAAAGTGTGAGACAAAAAAATGATCTAAAAGTCAAAACGATTTGAGGTCAAATTTGCAATCTCTGAAATGAAACCAAACTGTTCCGGCTGTGAACTTCCCACCTTATATCTCCACCTTGGTTACTCCTCCTGTCGTTTGGCTTCTCTACCCCTCACCCAGTGCCAACAGCTATGGCTGGTGGTGAGTGGGAAATACTGCTCTGCATCTTTACTGTCCTGTCAGAAGAGAAAGAACACAAGCAACGCAAAGATAAGTGAATAATATTCGTCCAAGCAACACAAACTGCAATAAAACGCGTCTCATCACAAACACATTTGAACAGTGTCTAAATGGTCAATAAGACAAGTAGAGTTGTGCAGTACATTCAGCAACATGACGCTTCAGTGCTTTACATGATGGAAATGTAAAATCTTACACTGCAGAGGCTAAACAAAGGAAAGTAATGAAAAGTTGGAAGAAAGGCTCTTCTTTATGATGAACAACTCTAAACAAATCCTTTGATCCAAAGGAAGTTTTGCAGTTTTCTGGAAGATTATTCCAGATTAGTAGAGCAAGCTGCTTCTCCATGTTTGGTTCTGATTCTGGGGATGAAAAGCAGACTAGAACCAGAAGACCTGAGATGTCTGGAAGGTTAATACACCAACAGCATATCCTTAATGTATTTATTCAGTCAGTGATTTCTAAACTGACAAAATTATTTTAAAGTCTGAGCTATGAGGTGCCAGTGCAAGGCCTTTAGAACTGGTGTGATGTGTTCTGGCGATGTGAGCAGCAATGTTTTGGATCAGCTGTAGCGGTCTGATTATTTTTTGGGCAGACCTGCAAACACACTGTTGCAGTAATCAATGCGATTAAAGATAACTGCATTGTTGATTTTCTCTAGAGCTTTATGAGACTTAAGTCCTGTAGTCTTGGATATATTCTTCAGGTGATAGAAGGCCGACTTTGTAAATATCTTTATGAGGTTCTGAAGGTTCAGGTCAGAGTCCATCACTACATCCAGATTTCAGGTCTGATCACTAGTATCTATCTGTAATAACTGAGTGCTGGCTCTCGATGGTTCCCTTTTAGGTCCAAACACAATGTTACGGAAAGTCATGGATGTTTCCACACATTGATATGTTCTATGCATCGGCTCAATGCTTAAGCACCTGGTGACATTGCAATGTAGATCTGTGTATCATTTGTATAGTAAAGTTAACTTATCTCATTATTTGTCAAAACATATGAATGAACCAGAAAAGTTTTATTGCTGTTTTATTGCTGTTACAGAGTGTGAACAATTGTTAATAAATACTGATAAAAAACCCCATTACTGACACTATACCCCTCTGAGGTATAGTGTCAGTACTGGATCATCTTCTCTATGTGAACAAGCTGCATCTCGTTTCTGGTTACATAGAAGGAAACAGCAGGCAACACAGATCAAATGATTGACAGCACTTTAGATAAAAATGTGTGTTGTTTCCAAGAATCCCTACAGCACAAATGTTTTCTATACCTTCCACACGCCCTTCCCCCCCTTCACACGCACACACACACACACACGCACACACACACACACACACACACACACACACACAAAACTCACGCATTGATACTATTGCAGAGAAAAGGCTGAAACAAATGAAGTTGCCTTAAAGATTCACAACCTGATGCTTCCTGGAATGCTTGCATGATTTACTGACTTTTTGTGGGTCTCAAAGATTTTTAATTTAAATAAAAGTGAAGACAAAATCTACAGGCCTAAATCAGAATCACTGCAGATTTAATCTCGCCTAAATGAGCTTAATGCACGTCCTTAACACAGAAATCCGATCAATTGGTGTGGGATTGCAGTGAAATTAAACCATCTTTGCTTAAAGTCACCACACATCCAGAGTCCCGTAGCCCTTGCCCAGCCTGCCCAAAAAAAAATCATCTCCAAGTTCAATTTTTGCAACTGGTTGCCTTGATGGCCACTAGAGGGAGCTGCACTGCAAATCTGACAGACATGAAAGCAAGTTTAAAAAATCGTTTTCGGCCTTCAGAGGAAACAGTTGTTAAGATCAAGTGCAAACACTGAGTCCCATCCCTCATCATGTGTGTCTGTAGATGACAGACCAGAGCAGAAAGCATGATGTGTGTGTGTGTGTGTGTGTGTGTGTGTGTGTGTGTGTGTGTGTGTGTGTGTGTGTTGTGTGTGTGTGTGTGTGTGTGTGTGTGTGTGTGTGGGGGGGGGGGGGGTTTACATGTATGTACTTGTTATGAAACAGGATAAGGCTGCTGTAATTCTTGGGAAGACAGAAACACACACAGCCACCTCCAGGAGTAACATCCTTAACTCACTGGACAGTTTTTAAGACAGAATAAATCACATTAGTTGCTGAAGGAGCAAATGATCCCCTTTCTTTGTGTCCTCTCTGCTGTCCGCTTTTCTTCCCCTTCAGTAACCTGCTTGAGCTCTCCTGTTAGCGAAGTCCCACATGGAGAGGACACAACACTGATCCCCAATGTCAGCCGCTCTACCAATCGCATGTAGAATTAAAAATTTGACATCTTCTCCTCTGTGTGAAAGCTCATTGGGTTCTGGAAGACAGCAAATATTCTGGAATATAAAATACTTCTAATGTTGTCCAACCACACTTTGTGGCCTGAACGGCAACGCTTAATCGCTGTGTGGGTCACTTTCCTTTACAAACTATGTTTCCCTTCATATGTGCTGAACACATGTGCGTCGATGAGTCCATGTAACTTATGTATGCATGCATGCGTATTTACAGCAGCGGTTGAGAGGAGGTTGCAGTAGTGCGGAGTGGTGGTCATCACCCAGCAGGGAGGCTGCATAGGGATGACACTCGTCCCATTGAAGGCCCTCAGGGAGCCCTGCTCTATTGTAGAGGGAGCTGCCCACATCACACATTCCTGACCTGTACCATGTCATATCGTCCTCTCTCTCTTCACACATTACATACAGTGCATTCTACCTACAGGAGTGCTGCAATGTGTGCACAAAAAATACTGATTAATTGTTTTTGGTCGGGAGCGGGGCTTTCCTTCAGAAGGCAATAGTAGCTCAGGGACGAGGTGGAGAAACGGATCTTTTCTCAGATGATCTGTCTCAACATGGTGAACGTTTTAACAAATATTCTAAGACATATATACATTTGTTTTATACAAGTTACATACTGCAACTTTTTTTCATTTGCATAGACATGTATTTTTACTACAATTCTCTTTAGTGTGAACTGTTTTTAGATCACACAAAAGACAGTTCTTTAAAAAAATTTTATTTATTTATTTTCATAAAGCAGCAACGTAATGAGAGCGAATCATGCAGGTCACTTCGCTTTGTCCTTTGCGGTTCTGGTCATTTTGTGCCCATCAATTTCAGGTTTACACAAATTTGGATGTTTACCCACTTCGACAAGCAATGGCTTAGAATTGATTTACTATACTGTAATTATTGTCTACTGTAAATAAATCTGGTGTTGTGACTTCAGCAGAGTAATATCTATCAGCATGAGATCATTGAGTCTGAGGAAATTATTTTCCAAATTTAATGAGGAAATCAGCCCAAATAAATGGAAAGCAGTGTGTAATTCAAACTTTTCTGATGACAACTGAAATTATGTGCGAGATTTCAGTATTTCTAAAACAAAGTATTCCAATAATTCTTAAAAACATTTGTGTACAAAGAAAAACATTGTGAAAAGCAACCATTGTGAAAAAAAACCATATCGATGTTAAAATACATCGATATGGAAACTAGGCAGAGGGGGAGAAAATGGAAACATGAAGGAACAAACTGGGGGTGCAAATTTGCAAATAAGCAAATTGATTCTGAGCAGCGACACCAAGGCTCATGCTACTAACATAAATACTGATGTGAAATGTAGAGTTTAGACTGTAAGCCTGTAACTTGACTTCTCAATAAGGGCCACATAATGTATCAACATTGCAACATTACTGAAGGAATTTATTACTCGTGTAAAAATGTGCTTATTTCCACTTATACACACTTTCCATGAAATACGATGTGAAGGCTCCCTGCAGTAGCTACCGACACCTGGCACAGGTAACAATGGCCCAGATGTTCAAGGTGAGAGCAATAATTTAGAATTTATTTGCTGCAGTCAAAGTTAACATTGTGGAGGGCAGGTTCCTGTTTTTAACAGCTTATTCCTCTAATCAACATTATCAGAATAGACGTACAGAGATCAAAATGTGTCAAAAAGAAACATTTACAAAAAAATAAACAAAAATTTAGTATTCAAGTTAACTATTCAGCTGCTATGATTTTCAAGCAGCTCATAAAATTCAAAATCGAATTTTTTTTCAAATATATTTTGGATTAAATCAGTTTAGCAGTCGAAGTTACTCTCATGACTGTTAAGAGAGCTTAACTGCCCATGTAAAAAGAAATACTTGATTCACTGTCAATTCGGACTCTTTGATAAAGAAGCCACATATATTTAATAGAAAAAAGGACTCGGTGACTAATAATGCCTTATAACTCAGTTTTTTCCGTTAGTAAGTTATTTCGTCTGGTTTGTAAGGGCGAACTCTGTGACAAATGTTTGCACCTACAGGTCATGCAGGCCTTTTGGCTTCCAGCAGCATGAACAGCACCTGTGACAAACCAGCAAAAGAGTTAATGTAGTGTCACACAGTAACAAAAACATTGCTGCAGGATGGAAAACCAAAATGGCAGACGCCTCTACAACAAACACAGAACAGCACATTCACAAGGAGGAGCCTCTGCTTACTTTCCCTAATCAAAAATGTTGAAAGCAGAATTGAACCGCCACTTTCCAACCGCCTGGGTGTCTTTGGTTTCTGTCCTGGATGAAAGAGCTTCCACATTCCTTTCCTGCGGGGTCAGAGGTCAGCCTCTGCGCTGCCTGCCAGCCCGCCTGCCACGGCTCCCGCATGCTGAGTGACTGGTGTTAACCCCTTCGCTCCCGCACGGAACGGTTCGACTTTTCTGTGTTAACAGTGGCATGGCCTCTGCAGAACCACGCTCTGTAAATCAGGGTAAAGTCACTGCATGAACTCCCTGACTGAACTATATGAACATGCTAAATATAGAAAGTGAGTTCAGCGTCCGGAGCTTAGGTGACAACAGGCGCACTAGTGAAGAGAGAAGGAGTGGGGGGTGACTGAAGTGCTGCGCTGCAAAAACATTTCAGCGAAAATATAGGAAATGATTAGAGGTGAACGAGGAAAGGCTCTGCAGAGCTTGAAGAACAACAGTTTTACAAGGCGGGTCATAAAAGTCAGGAAAACACAAAATTCCTAATAATGACATTTGTTTTTAGCTCCCGATGCTGTAAAACAAGCCGGTTGGTCATTTTAAATTAAGTCACTTCCTAAAGTCTCCAAGTTGCACAGATTTGCATCATCAACACTGTTTTCTATTTTCTAAATGTCATGGATGCATGTTTCCTGCTAATTACTCAGTCGCTGAAATACTGGCCACTAAAAGTGATTCAATCTGAAACTGTCCATTTTATTTGCTGAAATTGGCTGAAGTGTTAAGTTTATATATAAAGCTGTCAGTAGCATTCAGTAGGAAGCTGACTAACATTATCAGATTCAGTTTAATTTTTAGTTTTATATAAAAATGAGCTAAGATGCTAATTTTAGCTAAAATGCAATTAGCATAAGGGCTTTCACTAGCATGTTTAACCAGCAATAATCAAATTCACATGCTGTACTAGAATATAAGCAAAAATGAACAACAATGCTAAGGTCAGCATAAATGGCACTTAGATGTAAACAGCAAAAAATAAAAAAACAAGCAATTAAATCTCGTTATTTTCTCAATTTATTTTACATTTATATTACATTTGCAGTTATCAACAAAGGTACCAAGGTTTTTGGGCTGACTTTTGACACATTTTTCTGCTTTTTAACTTTGAGCTAGATCAATTTAGATGTCAACTATGGCTGCAATAGTTGTGTTTTCTTGAGCTCGTTAAGAAATCAAAGTGTGAAACAATGTTTTTTTCATTACTGGCGACAGGAAATACTTTTTTTTATTCCAAGTTCATTCACGCTTCAAGAGATGGAGAAAAATAATCTGCCGCGGCAGAGAGTTTTCTGAAGGAAATAAGAGTTGATCATCACACCCTGGTGAGGACTAACTTTAGAAATTCAAGAGATGGCTCGGGAAGCAGCAGAGTAAGACGGAGGGTGTGGAACAGAGCGGTGCGCAAGAGAGGGATAAAACAACGCCGAAAAAAAGCGAGGGAAAAGCAGAGTTGTGGAGTCAGGGTGTTTGCGCCAGTCAAGTGACTCTACAGAGAGAGAAAGAGACCAGGACAGCGAGGGGGTGGGGGCAGCAGGTCACGCTTTACTGACCACATTGACCTGGATGAGAAGCAAGGAAGTTTACGGTTAGTGAGGGCAGCGGGGCCACCATCAGCTCACTCAGGGAAAGAAAAGTTACAATTCACATTCCAAGAGGGTTTTTTTTTTCAGCAGAAAAGGTTGCGTATTTTGAATCCTGTCAGTATGAAGTGCTATTCAAAGAACAAAGAAGATGAACAGGAAGATCGCATTTGGGCTGAAATGTTGTGAATACAACAAAGTAGACGAGTAAAAGACAACTTCTGTTCATTCCTACTAACAGGTATTCAGAGAGAAAATGACACGAGCAAGAAGAAGAAAACAGGAGAACAGATTCTGCCAGAGGACACAGAGTGTGCATCAAAGAACAGGGTGAACAGAAAATCACACTGAACACAGAAAAAGGCATGATTATTTCATGTAGACATGAGATCCACCTTTCAGATTGGATTATTTATTCCGAATGTCTCTGTTATATATTATGACAACAACAATGGCAAAAATTCCCCCCAAAAAACACAAAATTTATATAAATCTATAACTACATTTATTTGTGGCCTTACAATTCCAGATATTGCTTTTAAATTTTCTAATGACTTATGGCGTGAACAGCTTTAATTTATTGTCTTATTTAATGGAGACACCACAATTCAAAAGTTGTGTTTTTTCAACATCAGCAGAAAATTGACAAAGATTTGTGCAAATTTGTAACGGAAACACAGCTAGTGATTGGATGTGTTTTCAACCACTCAGTGGAGATGCGATTAAATGTGAGAGGATGATAAATCGCTCAATGAACCTCTGAGTGTATCCTCATCCCTTCTGAGATGATGGTTACTTTCCTGGCTTCAAACGCAGATTTTAAGACTTGAAGTTTGTACTTTGCTTCTGTCTCCCCAAACTGTCAACCAGTATTACTGTGGACATAAACTCAGCGATGTTGAACTTATTGGTCAATGATACTCCTGACATCGACAGCAGAACACCACAAAGCCCTCCTATAAAAACCACTCAAAGAAAATACAATGAACGGCCAGAAATTACAGAAACGGTTTCCTATCTTACCGCTCACAGCTTTGTAAAAATTAATACAGACGTTTATGTAGGTGAGTGAATATATGATGAACTACAATAACATGAACCATGCGGAAGATGAACGCAACCTCAGTGCTGCCCAAACCCATAATGCGTTTCAGCAAAGTCACCTCCTTTTCTCACTCTCCATCCTTCCTCTGCTCGGTTTCATTTCCTCTCCTGATCGAGGGACACGTATGGGGGAGGAGTGGCTTCGGATGGTGTAGGGACGGCAAGAGGAAGAGTCTCTGCCATGCCAAACGCTCACCCATCCCGGCAGTAACCACAGGCCACATCGGGCTGGGATGTGGCCATAAACCCAGAAGCACGGGCCCGGTGTCCTGGCTAAAAATAGCTGCGGTTGGGATGGAGGAGGTGCAAGGCTCAACTGCCATCAAGAAACACCTTCACTGTGGGAAAAGAAAGCTGACTTTCCTTTAACTGTCACTTAGTTTTCACAGGGGTTGGACCTTGATCATTCTTTAAAAGATTAGGAATGTAGTCTTCATTTGGTGGAGATTTGTTACAGGCGGTAGACGTTCTGAACTGGTCAGTAACTGTAAGCTTCATATGTACAAATGCGCCTGAGTAGTGCTGCTCATCACTAAGAGGTTTGTTTTGTTCAACAAATGTAGATATAACTTTTTTAAAAATTTAAAAGTTGCAGAAGAACTTGTTTCAGAAGTTGAACAAGTTCATTTTCATAATTCTTTTTCTGTATTTGTAAGCTGCTGTAACCATTTCTCATTCGCTGAATTGATGAATTTGTCTTTTCATCGCTGTAAATCTATGCAGATCACATCCGATGTAAAACAACACTCAGCGTCCCTGATCAGGTCCAGTACTTTCTTCTTTCTGCTTCCTTCTACTTCCTTCTTTAACCTTCTAAATCTCCAGCTCTAGCGAGATTATCTTGTACAAATCAGAGAACAACTCCTGTTAGAAGCTGAAGGTGGTCATGAAGAGCCATTATTTAATGCCTCCTCATTAATTAATGAGGATTGGGCATTGTTTTAGAATCAACTGATTTCAGGAATATAAGTTATCAAAAAGGATATTTTTGGAAAAAATAAAAGGTATTTTCTTTTCTGTTTGCACCTATAAAAATTCAATATTAACGTGAAAACAATTGCCGAATTTAAATTTTTAAAAACCTTTGTGGTGTACACATGTAGATAAATAATTAAAATGATATAGCGAGAACCAATTTGTGCAATTTGTTCGCAAGGAGATTTTCCACTAATCTCCTTCACTTTGTCTTGACTGTCGGTGGACAAAAAGTCTAAGCTTGAAGGCAAACATGGAGTCAGAGAAGCGCATACACAGTAAATTTCGCAGTGTTAAATATGCTGTGTTAAAATTGATTGACTCTTTCAGAGCTAATACAACAACAGACTGAGTATAATGCCACCTAGTGTTGGTGTAAATTTCCAGAGTGTATTCTCGTCGTGTCAATTTGACTCTGACAAGCTCCGCCCACCTCCTCCTCTCAAACCAACAAGTCTAACCGTTGTGTGGACGCCATTTTTCTCCTGCTCGAACGACTGCGGTAAGTTTCTTTTTATAAGATAATAATACAATTTGAATTGTTTTATAAGAATATTTTATTTGTTTCCCGGTTTATGAGTGGGCTAGATATCTAAATACTGAGTTTTATACGGCTAACCTGACCGAGTGAATGCCTAGCTTAAAATGCCCGCCTAAAATCCATGTCCAAGCTATATAGCATAGATATTTGTTTTATTCATTATTTATTTAGTTATTTTTTGCAATGCAACATAAATTAACCGTAAGCGATGCTAATAGTCCAGTTTCATAGTTGACACTGAATTTGGCGCGAGTGATTTTTTTTTTCCGTGCCCAGCATCATAGCTCTACTGTAAACCTTGCATGACTCCGCCATTAACCGTTGCTAGTGCTAACAGACAAGGCGAAAAAGAAGCGAGGCAGTTGAATTAACTGTTCTAGTTACTGAACGAAAGAGCATTTATTAATTGTCTAACTTGGATAAGAGTGCAAAGAAGTCAAATTAATTTGCGCCCAAGCCATTATTGTGTAAACTTTAATCATTGTTTTCTATGAAAACGATGTGATGTGAGCTGTATTGGTTTGTGAAGCAGTTGGCACGTTTCATAAACTGAAAGAATTCCAGTACTAAAGATGAATGACTGAGGAATTATGTGCTGCAGGAACCATGTTGATTAAAACAAGACTTGGCGAGCTGCAAAAATTTGTCCGACTAACGGAGCCGAATCTGAAGGAGTTTTTGACAGCAGGTAAGACACTGGGAGCTTTACACAGGAAGCTCTGAGGCGCTTGTAATGTTACTTGACATTGTTTATTCAAAAGTATTGTTCCAGAATTTATGTGCACATGTGAGTATTAGAGCAACATAACCTCATAATTGTTGTTTAGACAAGCATTTGTCTTTTTCTCTGGCATTTGCAAAATTTGGCGTGCCAACTGTAACAGAGGGGGTGAAGGTTGTTGACAGTTCAGGGACTGAGTTGGATGAAGATGTTGTTAAGGATCCTTCTGCTGGAGTCCTAACCATCGAATATGAAACTGGTTTGTTATATTTGTAATTCATTTTAATATTTAATAAGCTTGCTATTTCATTGTGATTACTGTTTTTTGTCTTTCATCTGCTTCTCTTATTGTTAGAATTTGGAATCTCAGCCAAGCTCATTCTTGTTTTTGTAAGTTGAAAGATTTTCTTATATTTACTAGCATCATCCGAAGAAGGATCTTGTCAACAAGGGCTTGGAGGACCAGCTGCTAGACGAGACACCAAGTTTGTTCCAGAGACTGTCCTGAGTGAAGAAGAGTGCAAGGAAGCCATCGCACTGATTAAGCATTCAGCTGATGAGGACAAAATCAAGAAGATGAAGCTCACATTTGACTTCCGGCGCAACATGGTCCTTGACTCCCAACGGTCAAGCAACATACTCTCTGTCTTTCCACGTTTCAAAGATGTCAAAGGCTTGGTAATTATTTATTTTGATAATTTTACAGTCATGTAAAAATAGTGTATTTTTGTGACAAGTCAAATGAATACAGTTAAAGTGGCTGGGAAATGTTTTAAGCTTTTTACTATCTACATCCTAGGTGGAGCAGGATTTTGTCCTGATGTTTGGAGAAGATGTGTCTGGCAAGTTTCTGGAAAAATGGACGACCACGTTCAAGAGAAAGATCATCCAACAATGCAGGGAGCTTCCAACCACCAGTGACCTTGAAGAACTTCTCCTGGCAGCTGATACTCCTGAGGATAGCACTGAAGTGGATAATGACATGAGTAAGGATGACTTTCAACAATATGTAGAATTCAATTATTGTGTGAGCTTCACTTAGTGATATACACATAATTTAAATTGTGTAGTCACTAGGTTTTGATGGTCAATTCAACATCAAATGTTTCTTATCACAGGTTGGGACAGTGACCTCTCATCGATTTTGCTGCTGCTACACCTGATTCCCCCCTCTGCCTTGGGTCGTAAGAGACCAGGGAAGGTATCTGCCTCCCAAGCAGAGAAGCGTCTTGTGGTCTTCAAGAAGGTTTGTATTTGTTGCAAATTTTATTTTATGTTATACTCGAGGTTGTTTCACTGGGAGAATTTCAGTTTTACGGTGATATCACATAGTTAAATGCTGTTTTTCCATATATCTGTTTTTTGTGGAACATTGCAGCTTTGTAATTATATTGTTCTTTTCTTTTTTCCCCCCACAGACAGGAACCAACATCCAAGAACATCTTGATGCCATCACGACGAGCACACAACCCTATCTCCTTGCTGTGGGATGGAGGAAGAAAGTAGCCCACCAGTTCTTCATCATCCTTGACAAGAATGCCATTGCTTGCAGGTCAACATCCTCTCTTGGTGCTTTTGATGAACTGTTTAAGGCACATTATGTGTTTGCCACAACATACATGTTCATGGTTACTTGGATGGAAAAACTCTTTGCCTTAAATGTACTCTGTCAACTTCGAGCCGTCAATGGGATGTACACCATGTGATGTTACTGTGACAAAAGTTAACAGTGGATATTAAAATCTGCTTTAATTCAATAAATAAGTTAAATGCATTTCTGTGGTAATGTGATTTTTATTCAGTTGTACATTTCACTCTACAAAAGTGTAAAAATAGCACTTCATATTTATCTGTGCAGTTGTTTTTTCACAGCTAAAGAGTAAGTTATCTACACAGTGGAGTATCAGTTTAACACTCATAGGAGTTATATGAGCCTCCAGTGTAAGCTCTCAATAACTCGATGCAGTGTTAAATAACATGAGAACCAGAGTAGTTTTTTCACCATTATGGAGTAACTTATTAACTCTGATTAGAATCAGATTTACTCTTATCAGAGTTATTTGACTAGGAGTGTTAAGTTTTATTAACACTGCACAGTGTTAGCCAGTGTAAAATTTTTACTCGATTTAGAGTTAAATTTAACTCTGAAAATGTAACACTGTTGAAAGAGTAACATTAACACCAATTCCGATAGGGAACATATAGACTCGGAAACAGTGTTAAATTCAACTCTATAGGTGTTGCTTTAACACTGCCAAATTTACTGTGTAGTCACAGTATTTGCTCTTTTCTGCTGATTTCACTATGGTTGCCGTTTAAAACCGCAAATAAAATGTGACGGCCATGTTGCGCGATTAAACCCTTTTTTGCCAAGATGAAAACAATATCAGTAACGCTGACACTTAAAACGCAACAAAAATCATTTGTTCACTGACTGAATCAGTTTGACGGGGATATTGGCATAACTCTGATTGTGGAAAACCTGGCTGGTTGTTTGTTGTTTAATTTCTTCTTTGTTTTCATTGAAACCTCTTAAGAACCAGTCAGACCATCAGCCTAAAACACAAAACACTTTCTGTGAAGAAACCTTTTCAAACCATACAAGTACACAAATATGGACCGATTACAAGGTATCATACAGTCTTATAAATAGACTTTATGTGCATGAGATCGAGCCACTGCACTAGCAAACACAGTGAGATATATCAATCATCTACGAAGGCCCAGCATAAAGTTTTGATGCGACCAGTTATCCTGCAAACCACTCCAGACACAACAACGTTTGCACCACCACACGTTTCACTGACATTTCTTGTTGAATTTCAACTGTATGTTTGTGAGTGTGTATGTGTGTTTGTTTGTGAGAGTCAGTGTGTTATTAGTGTTGGGTTGGGGTTAGCCGGGTCGTTTAAGTCGACACCAAGCCCACCCTGCTTATCTGACGCTGGTAATGTTTCTGTTAGTGAGACCGCAGATCACACAGTTAGACATGTACACACGCATACACACACACACTGGAAGGAGACTCCACACACACCCAGTTTCACCAACTTAAAACAGACAGAGGAAGCCACGTCTGGCTTAAAGCAAAACTCTGCATGAGAGCATCTCTGGGTGTTTACGTCTGACTCAAAGGCATGTCTGATCAAAAGAGATTTTAGGTGGTTCTAGCTGTTTCTTGAATATCTGCCTGATTTAAAGACATATTATTTTATCACAAAACGATGAGGAGCAGGAGATTATAGCTAATTTATTTACCTACACCACAAGTCTTCAAACTTTTGACACGTGAACAAACATAGTACAATGAGCCGACGAAGGAATGTGAGAAAGGGTCAAACCTTGCTAAACTGAACATAAACAAGCTTTGCACCAAACCCTAAGCGTCATTTTAATTATAAAATGAATAAGTAAATTGACATAAACTATGGCGTAACATACTTGTTCATATTCTAGCAGCAGGAATGTTGTGACACCTGGAACTCACAAGGTGAGATGAAACGCAATACCCAATAACAAGATGAGATATTAATATCGATAATTATATTATTCATTTAAAAACAGCAATAATTAATATTACTTTGGAGAAAACTTCAAAGATCAAATGTGTGCTTCAAGGTCTTTATTCTGCATTTGTGACAGTGTGATAGTGATGTACGGAGAAAATCTGCAAATAGATGACTGTATGAGGAATTTGGAGTTAACTACATCAGAAAAATCTTTTTAACATCAAAAATTATTGCTCATTTGTTCATGTGGTTGTTAGCATTATAGCTACAATAAATTTTTCAAAACTTCCATCCCAAAATTTAAAGCCAAATAGGACAAAAAAAAAAAAACATTTCTTATTTGGGCAAAAACTTGAAAAATAAAAATCATCTCCTGTATACTGTTTCAATTTAGTCGATAGATAAAAATCAGGCTTTTTATCTTAAAAGCATACCTAATCAAGACAGGAGAAATGTTATTACTCTTTATTAATCTTTTGTTTTATTGTTCTCCATGTCACATCGGAGGAATCTGCCTGTTCTTGTTAAAAGCTCCATCGTTAATTCTTAGCCTGAATCGTTCATCTCTCTCTCTGCCTCCTGCTGCGGTTACTGCAGAAGACACACTTTTGGGAGGCACCAACCCAGAATAAGCTGCACATGTGTGCATGATAAAAAAAAGGTCAAAATTGAGTCACATCTCCTGTCAGCACAAAACCACATCACAGTCCAAGTGTCATGTTGACAAAGATCCACAGCATCATGATCTCAAGCGCGACAGAATGGCCTGTGATCTGCTTCAGCCTCTGCTGCCACACATCTGGATAACATGTTTTAACAAAGACTGAGCTGGGAAGAGACCAATTAGAAAATTAACTGGCTCCACAAACAAGAACAGATTTCCACTCTCTCTTTGGAGCTAATTCAATAAGAAAACATTGGGTTTGGTTGTAATGAAATAAAATCGGCAACAATCTGGGTTGGCCATTTCCTGAAAAATGATGCCCAGGTCATGCGTACATATCAAAGTGGTCCTCCTCAACACGGCTACACCTTATTGGTTGAATCTATCCTGGTGCTAGAATCAGGTAACTGACTCGCTCTTTGCTGAGCTAGCAATCTGTTGAGCAACATGCACAGCAGCAGTTTCAGGTTGCCTCCAACATATTCGGGTGGACGCCACTCGCCAGAGACGCGTAGTGGAGGCGGCCTCAGTGCGGACTCAAAGACAGCGAGCACTGGACATTTCATGACCACGGACACTTGGTCGGTGACAGCTTTGTTTGAAATTTAATTCATTTTGTTTATTGTTTCTGGTTGTTGTGTTTTATTTTGGACATTTAAAACATCTTCCAGTTCCAATGTTAAGTTGCTTCTTCTCTGAGTGGGCAAACTTCAATTATTCAATGTATTACTTGGGGGGGGAAAAACATGGTTTATCGCTGTAATGTCTGGGACAATTTATCTCCCAGTGAAATTTGTTGTTGGGACAACAATTTTGGGGGGATTTTATTGTAAAAAAATAACATTTGTTTAAGTATAACAGTACAAGATGAAATTCTGGATGAAAGAGGAAAGATTATGTCACTAGTTTGGCAGTATTTTGTATATTGAAAGCAAAAAATAAATAAAACAATTGTTAACAACTGATATGTAATGCTTATATTGTGGTACATTTCTTAGTCATATTGCTCAGCCCTAAACTCTAGTAAACCATTTATTCACAGACAACTCACATCAATCTATATATTTAATTACTTTACATCTCCTATAGCATAGGAACTGCCCCGCCCCACTCTGCCTACCCAATCATTTAACTTTCATACAAATCAATCCACAAACCACTAAAATATGTAGAAATACAAGCATGACACTTGTCACTCAAACATTCACAGTACTGTAGATTTTGCATCATCAGCACTGCACATATGAAACAAACGTCAAAGTTCATCAGAGGCTTTGGTTTTAGATTTTAAGCTAATTAGATTGAAGTTATGAGGATTTTTAAAATCTATTTAATAGTATGCAAACTTATTCAAATTAATTTTTAATCCATAATAAGATGCCAATGAATGCTATCGTTTCGTTAAAGTTTTTGTGCCAAGACCAACAACCGATTATGCGTCTGACATCATTTAAAGCGCAGATCAAACGACTTCTATTGGTCGGACCTTTAAAAAAAAAAAGAATACAGGGTTTCTTTTGCAGAGCGACTAACAGCATGACGGAGATGCCTGTACAGCACGTTTGTCTTTAGGATGGAGAAAGAATGGATGTGTGCAGGAGAGGGTCTGGGGGAAGCCCTTCTGGCAGGGAGTCCTGGCCGTGACACGGAGCTCCGCAGCAGCTGGAGATGTGGGCACGGTGCCAGCGGGCGTAACGCCAGTCGCCCTCAACCTCACTCCAGCTCTCTCTTTTCTTGCTCCATCATGTTTAAAGAGCACAGCTCCGACAGACACAACAAATATGCACGCTTTAAAAGCCGCTGGCCTCCTCACTCGTGTGCTGAAACAAGTGTGGAACGTATATCGGATTACTCACCGAAGTCAGAAGACCTCGCAGAAAGTTTCTGACTGGAAAAACGGACTACAACTCAACAAGAACGATTGTGTACCAGATGTATATTCTTTGTGATGTGCTCTTGCTGCGTCTGGCTGAAGTGCCTTTTGAAGACGGGCCAGGACGCGCTACCTGGTGATACAAAGTTGTAGATATGAACATGTGTCAGAACTTGTAAGTCAATCCGTCTGACTCTGTTTTAACACAAAAAGCACATTTGGACATAGACTCAAACAAGGTGCTTTCCCAGAAGTATGAAACGTCACGCTCTGTTTCCACCTTCACACTGCGTTCAGAAACACCAAGCAATGAATAAAAATAAAAGAAAGAATGAAGAATCACAGTTGAACTGAATATCAAACAGGGACGTAAGTCTATAGGCGATGTATGCATGGGAACGCTGATGCCCAAACTGCACACCGACACATGCAGCCGGGGGACTGAGCCGGTGCATCCACTCAACAGGACTTGTTCACTTTTGTTTCCCCGCGCTGCCGCTGGCTCTCTCTGATTCAGATGGGGTCAGCAACAAACAATCTCTAAGTTTGGCAACGTCAGCTCAGCTTAAAACAACAGGCATTGTTTCCTGGGCTTTTGCTCACAGAAATCTACAGGTTTCAATGGACCTGTCGCCATTTTAAATTTTTATTTCACCCCATCCCTACTGCTCATATTCCTCTATTTGTTTCTTGTTCTTACTAATTCAAACAAGTGACTGATCTCGTGAAATATGGCTGGTGAAAGAACAAAAGTTCATCAGGATGATGGGAAAGTATGAAGTGTATGAGGGTGTTGGTGGCTGAAATGTAGACTTGTAGAAATGATATTCTTCCATAAACAGGACTCTGAAAATGGGAAGAGGGTGGTTTGCATTCTTCGAATTTCTTTTTAGAAACCTGATCTTGTTCAGTAAATTAGAGGCTGCAGAGACTTTTAGGCAGATGACAGCAAGTGGGAAGAAAGGAAAAAAAAATAAAACATGAAAAATAAAGGACCAAAAAAGGTGGGGGGAAACAGACACAGACAGATACTCCCATTATTCAGTACGACCATGATGGCAGTTTTTCTGAAATGTATGTGATTGCCCTGTATTTTAAAGTTTCGTCTGAAATATCCATAATCCAGTCATTTAGAGCAGAAAAACATCTGGCATCCTTCGCAACCAAAAAAATAAATTATTTTACACTTATCCTCATCAAACTTAATTTTGACTCATGTTTCTCATTGCAAAATTAAGTAATGCATTAAAAATGTTTCAAAATCAATTGGAGCCGTTCAGGTTAATGTAAATGTACTTCTGGTTTGTTTTTGTGCTCTGCAGATTTTTATTCAAAGAAAATAAAGCACTAACAAAATTATAACCTGAATATTCAGAGTGAAGATTTAATTGTAATAAAAGTTTAAAACCAAAATAAGAGACACTCAAACCAATACGATGAGGTGTGGGAAATGGGTTCACAGTGGCAGGCAACGCTTAACTCCAACGCATTGGTCATAAAAAGTTTGGCTAACACACAAGCAAAGGCTAAGTTCTCAAAACTACAACTTTCTAGCACAGATTTGTACAATTCACATGTTCAGTAATGCCCTTAGATATTGTATTTCTGTTTATATCTTGTTTTCCACTCCCTGGTTTAGTTTGTTCTTGCATGTTTCTTGTTCAAAATGAAGTTTTTTTTAGTGGAAAAAAGACGGAGCGTGAGGAGAAGCAGAATTGCTGCGTTGACCGTCTTCATCCGCTTCACCATAAGAGCATGAATATAAACGTCTAACTACTTTAAGAATGGTTGACAGTTAACGACCAAAAATTCAAAACAAATGTCAAACTTTACTCAAATAAAAGTTTATAAAACAGCACTTTAGAGTTTATCTGTAAATGTGAATTTCCTGGAAGCTGAAGGGTCATACAAAAATGTTAGTTGGGTCTGAAGCACTGATCATGAACAGCTCTGCTATCACACAATTCAAAATGTATTTTGAGGACTAAAACCCATTTAATTTTGACATTTTAATTATGTGTTCTTAGATATTGTATTTATGTTTATATCTTGTTCTTTATTGTCTTAAGTTTTATTTTGGTCCTGTCTGTTTCTTGTTTTAAATAAAGTTATTGCTAAAAAAAAAAAAAAAGAAAACATGATCAGAGGAAACAGAACTGCTGCATAAACAGTCTTCACCAAAATAAGAGCATAATAAACATCTAAAAATTTGTAATAATCAACAACCAAACTTAAACTAAGTTAAAAAAGGCCAAGTAAATTAGCACTTCAGAACTTATCTGTAAATTCTCAAGGGGAAGCCAAGTGCACCAATGTTTTCAAAGTTAGCAAACGTGCTGAAAAAAGAATCAGTGCCATACGCCTCTTTGTTTTTGACCCACTGTTTTTGAATAATAAAGGCAGCCACATAAGATTCCTTCTCTTTAACTTGGGCAGGCATCATATCTCTATTTAAATACCAAGTAGGTCTGAATCCACAAGTGAGAGTTGTGTTTCAGTTTGTTTCTCCTAGAAAACATTTTTGCCATGACTAATACAGAAACAATGTGTAAAATATAACACACCGCTCTGATATTCCCCTTACTACACTGTGGCAAACACCAGGTAACTACACAAACTAAATCTGGGCGTATGATGGAGCACTTCGCTATGGATAAACCTCACCAGGATCAAGGCAGAAGACAGTTCCTGATGCAAAACGGCGCATATAATCACCTGTCTGATCATGGACATAATGTCCCATGGCAGTGCTTCCCAAAGTGTGGGGCACGCCCCCTGAGGGGGTGCAGCGCCATTGCAGAAGGGGTCAAAAAAAAAAAAAAAAAAAAAATCCAAAAAACAGCTACACTAAAGTGTTTCACTGTAAACATGGTTTGTAGTGTGTTTTGTTGCAACCTGAAGTGCAAAATGAACTTCAGTGGAGTTTGAAAACAAAATATGTGTGCAGGTTTAGGTCTGGTTGAACGATGTGTGTGCCCAGTTGGGGGCGGGGGTTATGGTAATCCATAGGGGAGCCGAGAAAATCTTTGGGAACCACTGTCCTATAGTAAGAGGAGCGATGCACAGACTGAATTGACTATCTGGTTGTCTTAGTTTCATATTTATCTTACTACTGCACAGCAATATGGTTAAGCATGGCATTCAAATGACTTCCATAAACAAGTTGGACTAGTTATTTATTTTCACATGTTAACACAACACTTTCAGTTTTCTTTCTTCCAGACCCCGGTGATAAAAACACACTCAACTGAATGAATGGGATGTGCCAGAGGGGGGTCTTCCACCTCACTACCTCTTGCTTTAAAATCTGTATGTGTGTATGGGAAGTGTATTTGGGGTGGCGGAGAGGAGGAGGGTCTGCACTGTCCTTCTCTCTGTAAGGTTTAGGTTTCAGTCAGAGAGTTAAATGGTTACCAGATTGTCCTGCATGTGTGTTGCTGCTGCATACTGCAGTTGAACACAGGACAAAAAAAAAAAGTAATTTGCAATTTGGTAAAAACTATGAATATAGAATGGTGCTGAATTTTATTTGGCCTGAAAAGAGAAGATGTTCTTTGTCTTCACAGGTAAATGGCCCAGGAAGCCCTCAGTGTCAAATATCTCAGAATCAGATGCAAAAGTACTAATTGGTACAGAGGTGATATGGTGAAAACTTGGAAGGGTTTCAGGCACATGACGCCATTTTCAATGGCAACAATGAAGCAACTATGTTCATTTCAGGTTCTAAAAAGTTTTATATATAGACTATGACTTGAAATAAATTTTACTTTGTAATTTAACACCTGTCGCTTTCTGACACTCCACCTTCAGGAAGTCACCACAACATGGCTCCTCTAGTAACCCTTTAACAATGTTTTTACAGGCATTGCACTGAGACGTAGCTCATATTTTGAGCTCAGCAGATGGACAGTTCCACCAGGTATTTGCTAATTGCTGCTGGATAGTCTGTAGGAGCTGAATGGGGGAGAAGCTGCTCTGTGAGGCTTAAGTTCAGAAGCCTAAAAAACTGCAGCTCTGAGGAGGAGCTGTGTCTCGAAGGTGGAGTTAGGTCCACCTTTCTAATTTCTTGACATTAGCAAATACACTCACAGGACCAGTCGTGGAGACAATAATGAAATAATTCTGACAATACAGCTTGTTCTGTGACATTCAAACATCACCGATGGAAATCTATTTTTGTCGCAATAAATCCAAATTTGTATCATCAAATCGGCAAGAAAGCTCGAGGGCTGAAATTTTACCACTGAAGTCAAATAAGATTTGTTCACCAAATTCTCATCAGCGCATTTTTAGTCACAAACACGTTTTTCCCTTGAAGAAATTTGTGCCCATTTGATTCATTTGTAGAATTAGGCTTGAGTGTATATTTGCTTTATAAATGGAAATTACAGCCTAATTGTAGAATGTGTTCCTTTACTATTAAAAAGGGAATGTCCATTAAAGCTTTTACAAAACAAAATGTTTTTTTTTATGTATTTGTTAAAATGATCATTTTAACAAATGTTAAAATCATATGATGTGACAGTATAACACAAATAATCTATAAAAAAAGTAGAGCTTTTCCGTCTCCCAGTGCACCCAGTGCTAAGTGTAGCGATACACCACTCAGTCAAAAACAACCAATCAGACCAGGAGTGTCTGAGTGCTGTCAACCACATCCACCCCACCAGAACGTAACCTGCCACGAATGCCAGGCTAGTTAGCATGGCCACCGATGACACTGGATAAACGGTTTTCCAGTAAGAGGAAGGTGTATCTCCGCCATTAGCACAAGACCCTCCTCCTGGCTCTGATTGGTTGTTTTGGAGAGGGAGCAGTGGACTTTTGCAAGCAACAGTAGCACTGGGAAGGAAGTGCTCGATATATTTTCACCAACTATCTCTCACTCATATCACGCTGCCTAGACACGATGACAGATCGTGGGAAAATCATATTTTTGTATCAGTTACAAACTGCGGCTGCAAATACAAACATGCTACAAACATTTTATACATTTCCGTTTTGAAATTACAAAGCCAGAATACGCAGGAGTAAAACAAGCAAATGAGTTTTGCGTCATTTCTTTGAGAAAAGTAAAACAGCTGACTGAACCATTTCCAAGCTTAGGAATTTCACATTTTGTTTTTTGTTGGC